TTCTCGACGTCCGACGGCGAGCACCCCCGGGAACATAAATCATCGGAGAGGAGAGGGGCCCCGGCCCCGAAGCCGGCGACAATAATATTCCACCTACGGGGCGATCAACGTCGACCCAACGACGAGGGGTCGGCGATTCGCGAGACGTTTACGACGTCTCGAGCGGGAACTCCTCCTCGGGAACCTTCGGAAAACGCGGAAGTACCGCGGCGGGTCGAGGGCCGAGGGCTCGACGACCGGGGTGCCGATTCCCGACAGCCAGCGGGAAACTGGAACGAGAGAACGTCCTTTCTACCCATTCCTGGACGAGCGAAAGATGCCGACGTCTCGTTCGAGATGCAGGCCATTGTCGTCTAAACGTTCTCCCTTTCCTTTCCGCTTTCTTCCGGGCTCCACCCGGGCCGTCCATTGTCGACGTCTAGACGTTGGAATTAAAATCGGGGTCTCGGAGCGACCGTAGACGTCTTCGATGGATTTATTCGGAGTTCGATACTTTGTAATCATCCCCTGGAAGAAGCCGGACGAGACTTCCTCGCGGCCGGACCTAATTTAACGGAGGAAAATGTTCTACCTCGGACCATGTCGGAAACGTATCAACTCGCGTCCGTTCTTGCCCGCCCGGCCAAACCGAAGGACCAGCGAGCGCCAATATTTCCTTTCGCTTGCCTGCTCGTTCGTCGGATCGTTCGTCGGATCGTTCGTCGGAGCGCAAAGGGAGAAACGCGTGCACGAGCGCGAGTCCGAGTCGACGGTTTATTTTGTCGGCGATTGACCCGCGTCATCGACGAGGGCTGACGGGCGGAAGACCCGAGCGAGTCCAGGAAGGCCAAATTCATGGTCGAACCGGCAGGAACGGAGATCGTTCCGGAATCGCCGGCGTGATATTCGCAATGGTGCCGAAACGAGCGCGCCTCTCGCCCTGGGCGACGAACGGCCGAATCGTTATCCCGCGGTCCCGACCGTCCGCCATTGATCGATCGTTTACCCCGGAAAATTAAAATCACCCGGCCCGATGGACGACGTCGCACTTCGTGACTTCATAGTTTCAATTTTCGGTCGGACCCGAGACCGGATCTCGGGCGGTTTACCGAGACTTCCGTCCCGTCTCTCCTGGCGTTTGAGAGCATGATACCGAATAAATTACGTTAACGTCGGCACGAGGTGCAAAAGCTCGGCGGAATTTCCTCGCGATAAGCCGAACGCTCGCGGAGGCCCGGTACGTCCCCGAGGGGAGGCTCGCGAAATTAAAGCGAATCGTTCGCCCGGGTCGCCGCACCCTCGACACTCGACCTCTTCGGGATCGACGAGCGATCGCGAACCCTTTCCTTCAGGGTGGCGCGGGGTCTGGATCGCGATAAATCGATATCGTCGATAACGGCAATAACGGCGTTAATCCCTGCGTATATCGCGCACTCGGCCGAGGAACGCCGGACGGTACGTACTTTACGAACCGAGCGAGCAACTGCTCGAAAAGCTCGACCATTGTGCCGAGCAAACAGAGGCCGGTGCACCTCCTAACGCTAATTTATTCAAGGGTCTCCGGGGCTTAAAAGCTCGGCCATTATTTAGTCGCGAGTCGAGATCGCGAGAAGAACCCTGGCATTCCGGTAGCTAATGCCGTCCTCGACGACGTTGAATAACGAGTCCGGAATAAACAGGAAAAGATACGCATTTCGCGCGTCAACGGACATTGAATTCAGGGAGGGAAGGAGACGGAACGCGACCACGTCTTCGTCTCGACGACCCATTCCGCGGCGATGGCCGATATCGACGCCGGTATCGACGCCGAAGCGGCTTTCGAAGATTCATCCGGCGGTCGAAGGCGGTTCCGGGGGAAGATGGAAAGCAACTCGAGCGAAAACTACACGCTTTTACGGGGACAACTTTCGCGAAGAAAGAAAGAACGGAAAAATGCCCTTCCCTCCCTCGATCTGAATCCCCGAATCCACGAACGAAACGTCCGACTCGAGTCTTCCCTGCCCCGATCTAGCGGGAAAGGTGACCGACCGAAAAGTATGTAGGTCGTATCTCGAAGAGAGTGCCGCGTACCCCTCGGCGAACCTATGCTTTTTTATACAAGCAATTTGCATAGAGAACGACCGACCAGCATTGTGCCCGGAAATTGGAATCTCCCTCTCTGCCCCCTCGGTCCCTCTCCGGCCCTTTATTTTTCCCTCGCCCTCTCTCTGGCTCTCGACGCGATTCGAGTTCTCCACGCGGCTCATTATTTCGTGGCGATCCCGTCGAAGCTTTCCCTCTTTCTCCTTCCCGCGGCCGTTTTATCGGAACGAGCTCGTAACCCGACCGCTTCCTTTTCCTTGCTTTTCACTCGGCCAGGTAAAATGCCTACCGAATGATGCCGGATGGCCTACCACGAAGTGGCCGCACCGAGAAGGAAACTCGATCATTTTTAATCAACTTTCATTTTTATCGAGGCACCGTTCGTTTTAATGCCTCTCCATCGGGTCTTTCCGTAAAACTTGTAAAGCTTCGGATCACTCGACGGAACCGAAATCGGCCACGTCGGCTCCAAATCTTTGCAAACCTCTTTTCCGGCGGGCGAGTTATCCGCGACTTAAAGTTTACGTTGACTTCTCCGTTTTGAGGTCTTTACCCAGCTGGCGGGTACCTTTCCAACGTTTCGACGAGACTTACCTCTCTGACTTTGTCGCGTCTTTGCCTGGCGACCGGGTCCTTGTCTTCTCCTCCCACGGCGAGGGGCAGCTTGACCGCCGGGGCCGGGGGGACGGTCTCGAAGGTGACGCCCTGTCGATGTCCGATCACCGACGGCGAGCTACTGGTCTGCACCTTAACCTCCCTAGCCACTTCCGGTTTCTCCAGGGTCTTTTGATGCTGGTACTCCTCGTCGATTTTCGCCTACAATTATCCCAATTTTATTCGTTTTTTCCAAATTTTATTTTATTAACGATAACGTCCAAGTCCACGTGGATCTGGAGATTTCCCTTTTCTCCCCTCTCCCCTCTCCCCGTCTCCCGAGAACGACCATTGCGATTCGACCGTGACTAGCGCTAGGAAGGCGCTCGGAAAGAAACGTAAACATTCCATCGTAAATTCCGTCACCCGGACGCGGATCGGAATGTTTCCTTCCAAGACGAGTCGAACGAGTTCGCAATATGTCCGCAAAAAGGTCCATGTTCGTTACAATCGATTCTTCGTGTTTCATTGGCGCGCAAACGTTTGCTCGCCATCTCTCGCCATCGTTCATACGACGGCTTTGAATTTGTTGGCGCGGGGCGTTACCGTTCAATTATTGCCATTAATTTCCATTACCGTGTACCATTGGGCCGCACGATCGAGTTACCGAGCTTCCGTAGCTTATTTCGGGGTTTATCGGTCGATGGAACATCCGCGTTGCCAATGCACTCAAAGGCATCGAAAAAGGAGGAACGCGAGGGTGAACGCGGATTTGCCAAATAAACGTCCGCAAAATGGCATTTTCGCGAGCAAAGATCGAAAAACGAGGCTCCCGAAATTTACAAGGAGGTTTCCGGCCGAGCGAGTCGCGGCACGCAACGGAATTTGATCGGCGAAGCAGCCGGTCGCGCCATTAAATTCGAAGTCACGGCCCTCTCCGTTTACGAGGCACCGCGTTTCCTATCGTGTCCGAACCGTCCTTAGACCTGCCCTCGCTTGGCGGGTGAAAAAAAAAAAAAACCTAGAAACGGGTACCTCCGTCCCATCGAGGTAGGACTCTTTCCAGAGTCGCGACCCATACTCCGAAAAATGAAAGCCATCGCGCAATCACGGAGCGACGCGAGGGCGTCGGAGGAGGCTCGGCGCGTGCGCGCGGAACGAGGGGCCCGGGGCAGGTGGAACGGTCCTTTGGACGACTCGTGTTTACGCCGCGCTTACTGGCAACGACGACGAGAGATTCGTTGGAACGCTCGGTCGAGCCCCGGCGTATCGCGACTGGACTGCCCTTAACGCGGACCTTCTTCGTATCGAGACTTGCCCGAACGGGAAAAAATGCCCCACCAGGTAACTTCGGAAAACGCTTAAGTGCCGTCAAAACTATACGCGCGGTCGTAAACTGTAATCCCCTCCCCTCGACACGTTGCCTAACCCACTTCCAGCGGTGACCTGGCGGCGTTCCGTTTCGTATCTCGCGAAATCTCCTCCCGGGGGGAGAAAATTGCGCAAGTTTCCGGAAGATCGTCCGGAGAGTCTCCGAGAGCGAAGGGGGGGAGGGAGAGAGACGAACCTGGAGCTTCTGCTTGTCGCGGATGACGTGGTCGTCCGGCCGTCTCGGATCCGCGTGGTGGCCGAGAGCCACGGGGATGGCGTCGTCGGCGGGCAGGGCGGGCAGGGCGCGCGGTGGCGCCGGTATGAGCAAGTCCGGACCGGCCTTCTGCATGCGCTGGTACACGCGGTAGACGCTGTTAACGGCGGAGGCGCCGCCGTCGGCGCCACGGAAGTCCGGCAGGCAGAAGAAGGCCCCGAAGCACACGATGCCAAACGTCAAAAACACCAGGAGTATGAGGTACTTCTCGCGCGGCCGGAAGGCCCGCCGGCCGAACAGCGGCACCGGCACGCCGTTCGCGAACCGCTGGTAGGTCGGCAGGATTCCCGTCGACGTCATGGCTCCCGATGAACACCTCGCACTCGCGCACGGAGGCTCGACACGTTCCGCGACAGCCGTGGGGTACCCCGTGTTGTGTTTCCCTTTTCTAGCCGTCACACGCCATTACGGTGACGCGACCGCCACCTGCGAGTCGCGGAGGAGAACTCGACGGCCCGAGCTGCGCCCGAGGCGCGCGGAGGACCGCTGGCGCCATCTCGCGCGCCGACTCCCGACTACGTCCGAGAGTCAAAAATGAGAAACCAATGGGACCGTGAGGAAAGTGACCCACGGGTAAAACGCGACTGCAATTGGTGGAAACCCGACTTAACGCGATTCCTCCATGGTTTGACGTTTGCGAAAAGGGGCGGACCGAATGAGTTTAGGAACGCGAGTAATCTTCGGCTGTCTTCGGCGATCCGTCGTCCGCGCAGTTTCGCGTTTGCGCCACGAGAAGCGAATATCGTCGATCATGTCGATACCGAGGAGAAAGTAAAACCGTCGGAATTCGAGGATGCCGTAACGGGGAGAGCCTAGGCCAAGCGGAAACGGTAGGTTTTTAGCTGTTCGCAGCGGTGATTATGAAGAAGTCGAGCAAACATCGGACGGGTGTGGGTAACTTTTCGTCCGTGTGTCTGTCCGACGGGAAGGGGGAGGGAGGGGACCCCCAGGAGAATCTTACGACCTTCTACGCCAAGGAGCAGGACATCCCCGAGTACCTGGAAGGTTGTGGCCTGACCACCTGCTCGACCGTCGACATGCCCGAGGCTGTCGAAGTCGTCCGAGACTCCAAGGAACAGTCCAAAGAGAAAAAACTCTCCGCTACTTCCATTGCCACTACGGATACTAAGAAAACCGTCACCGTTAAACACCCCGAGTCCAATAAGCCGAAGCCAACCATTAAGAAGGGTAAACCTATACAAGCCGACTTGGACGTATCCAAGGAGTTCGTCCGGTGTCGAGACGAGTGCGTAACGCGTCTCGACTTGAGTAAATCCAGCATCACCAATCTTCCCGCTACCGTGAGAGACTTGACTCACTTGGTCGAGTTTTACCTGTACGGTAACAAACTCGTCACTCTGCCTCCCGAGATAGGATGCCTGACCAACTTGAAGACTTTGGCTCTCAGCGAGAACTCGCTTACGAGCCTACCGGATGCTTTGGTAAATCTCAGGTATCTGAAGGTACTCGATCTTAGGCACAACAAGCTAAACGAGATTCCGGACGTCGTTTATAAGTTAACTTCCCTCACGACCTTGTTTCTACGCTTCAATCGGGTCAGATACGTCGGCGATGATATACGAAATCTTACCAACTTGACCATGCTCAGTCTGAGGGAGAACAAAATCAGAGAGCTTCCCGCGGGTGTTGGAAAGCTCGTTAATTTAGTTACGTTCGACGTGTCGCATAATCATTTGGAACACTTACCCGTGGAGATCGGCAACTGTGTACAGTTATCCACGCTCGACTTACAGCACAACGAACTATTGGACATCCCGGAGACTATCGGCAATTTAGTCGCAGTGACGAGATTGGGATTGAGATACAATCGATTGTCCAGTATTCCAAAGTCATTGGCGAATTGTAGATTAATGGACGAGTTCAGCGTGGAGGGGAATCAAGTATCGCAACTGCCCGATGGATTGCTGTCGAGTCTCTCTGACTTAACAACGATTACGTTATCGAGAAATTCTTTTACCGCTTATCCTTCCGGGGGACCTTCTCAGTTTACTAACGTGTATTCCATTAACTTGGAGCACAATCAAATCGACAAGATTCCGTATGGGATCTTTTCAAGAGCCAAGAATCTTACTAAACTCAACATGAAGGAAAATCAACTGACCGCTTTGCCTCTAGACATCGGAACGTGGACCAATATGGTGGAACTGAATCTCGGGACGAATCAGCTGATCAAGATCCCGGATGACATTCAATGTCTGGAAAGTCTAGAGATTCTTATTCTCTCAAACAATTTACTGAAACGTATTCCTGCCAGCATAGCAAATTTGAGAAAACTCCGAGTACTGGATCTTGAAGAAAACCGAATCGAATCGCTTCCCAATGAAATTGGATTTCTTCGAGATTTACAAAAATTAATTTTACAGTCGAATCAAGTAACGTGTTTACCGAGAGCCATCGGGCATCTAACAAATTTAACACACTTGAGCGTTGGGGAAAACAATCTTAATTACCTGCCCGAAGAGATCGGTACGCTGGAAAATCTGGATTCCCTCTATGTTAATGACAATGCTAATTTGCACAGCCTCCCGTTCGAGCTGGCACTCTGCACTAATCTCAGTATTATGTCGATTGAAAACTGTCCGCTCTCACAAATTCCACCAGAGATCGTCTCTGGAGGACCATCCCTGGTCATACAATTCCTCAAGATGCAGGGACCTTATCGATCGATGTAATGACATCAGGGGTTACAATTTAATGTGACTGTACACTTAAAATTGGTAATTTCTTTTCTTCCGTAATGCACATTGACTGCAAGCAGAACGAGTACCTGTCTGTCACTCGAATGGAATACAATAGCTAAAATAATCGTGCATCGATAACGGCAAGTGCACACTCAAAGTGTTTTATTATTAATTTTAGTGTATTCCGTTAGTATTAGTTTGTAAAACAATTATTATTGGAACGTAATGTTACAAACATCTTCAATAGTTAGAAAAGAAGATTTTTAAGAAACATACTTGTACGGTGGCGATCGATTCTGAACTTGCCCTTAAACGTTGATTGAATTGATGCACGGATATTTTTTTTTTCCATTGCACAAATTGCAGAAATAAGATTCCTATATATCGTCAAAATTGTTGATGCAAAATTTTGTGTATTCCCAATTACGCATTATTTTAAACCTATCTTATACGCTTGTAATTTCCTTGTCTTTTTTTTTTTTTACTTTCGGCCATAGGCTGACAAGCAACAAGAGTTCCAAGCGTGTATCGATAGAATAATTTCTTGCAATTATTTGCACCGTTCTCGTTGATCGTATGTATACATACATATGCATATATTTCATTTTAACATCATAGTACGGGCCACTTCATGTAACAATCTTTGCATGTGCCATTCAGCAGCGAATTTTTATAAGTCTTATAACAATAGTGATTTGTTGGTTTAATACTTTGCGTGCGTTAAGAATGTAGATACCGAAGCGGGTGATTTCCATGTGTCTAATGTGCAACCACAGGAATGTTGTCAATTCTTGTAAAGTTGTTTCTTTTTGTAAAGAGTCTTGCAACTATTTTTACATTTTACACGGACTTAATCGTAATTGGTGTTGATTGTTTTTCAAGATTGATCGACTATTCACGAATCCAAAGTATAACTGGATTTTCCAATGGCCAAAAGTCAAACTTCAGATTTTCATCTTAACAAAGTCTAAATGCTTAGGACTCCGAAGCATCGACAGATGAGACGCTTTATGCGCTCGGTAATTGGCAGCATTTTGATTTAAATTATTTTCTAGACTCATTGTCTGAATATAACTTATCGTAAAGAATTCATTTGTTTTTGATGCGGTATTCGCGCGGGTCGCTCGAAGAGCGTAAGCAATATCGAAGCCCTGTCATTTTAGCTGTGCACAAGTGGACTGTAATAATTTTTTTAATACCTTTATCTCCGGGATGCCTATCATCGATTGAAAAATGATGATATACCACAAATATTTATTAACATCGTTCAAGGTGATGGAAATTGTTTACTTTGAAACAGAAATTTTTAATTTCTCCCGTTTCTCTGTCCAAAGTGAGATTAAATAACGTCAAGAGTTCGAGAGAAAGCTCACGAACGGGAAAAAGAAACTGTTTCTTAACTGGCGTTGTTTCAGAAACTTATGAATAGGGTAAGATAATTAGTTGTTGCTTCCGCAATGGTGACTACTACTTTTTGGTAACAAGTAGATAGGTTAAAAATACACCGATACCCTAAAGGTTTCCTCTGCTTATGGTTGCTAACAACTGTGACTCTTACTCTAGTTGAGTATTTTTCAACGATCCTTCGAAATTCTACGAAAGAGCCTTTGGATCAAATTTGAGACTCCTGTGGCTGTGCAATAATAAGTGTATGCTTCCTTCGGTTAATGCTTTACCTTATGCATTGTTATGTTAACTCTTTCGTAAACATGTTAATTACAATAACTGTGCAACTACTTCGAGCTTTCAACTATGCGTTTATTCGTGACTACCCTAACTTGCCCTAGAAACTCCTGTTACGCAAACATGTACATTTTAAACATTGCTGTGATTATCGATATTGTCAAAGAGCGTAAGGATTTCATTTGAGCAATTCTGCATTTCTATTTTCTATACATATATATATATCCACGTCTCTTGTTTTCTCTTACTCTTTGGGTACCGATCACCCATTGAGTTCGATTAAACTTGTTAAAGGCAAATTAGAAGACTCTTCGCAGTAGGTACGGCGCACACTACTGCATTTTATAAATACATTACAACAATTGTATCCTGAAACGTGTTTTCAAAACACTGGCATGTGTCACCGATCACACGTGATGGTAGAACGCAACCTCTGAGGGTTAATCGATTGCACTTTAACTACGTTACCAACGACTACTGCGTAAGGCATTCGGTGTCTCAATTGCACGTTTATAAATTTGTAATACTGTCATAGTGATTGTTTAGATAACAGGTCGCCAATACGTTGCCTCGACGAGTGCTTCCGAAATCTGATATTGTCCGTTAAGAAAGTACAGACTTCTAGAAGGACTATACGTTTAGTGAGTTATCGGTTCGAGCGATGCGAAGAAAGTTTCTACAGTGATAAAGTAATCGACAAGTAGAGAATTTGCAGTAAGCTCTACCGTACTCGTGCCAGCCGCTCTCCTCGTGCTTTTTCTTTTTCAATTTGTCGTTAGTGCGTGAATTGTAATTTCCATAGGAACGATGTTTATCGAAAGCTCGACCAGTGTTCATGGGGGTATAATCGTTCCCTTCCGCTACAAAGTACGCGGTTCACCCTTTACTCGCGCTGGATTGCAATCAACTTTTGTATATAATTGTACTCTTTCGTTTGTTGTTTAGGGTTGTCTCGTTTCTTGTATTTTTTACAACTGTGACAATTCACAAACCTGTGTTCTGGACGAATATGATTCGCTACCCACATAAGCATAGGCACTGCAAGGGTGTAAACACAGATTAGAATTTTTTTTTCCTCATTGATTGACGACAAGCCAACCGTAAAAAAAAAACGCGAAAAAAAAAGATATTTGAGCTTTGTCGTTGCCAGCAAATATTACCTTTGATTTGCTGAATAACTGGGAACGTTTTGGGGTAATTCAGGGGAAAACATGTCAAACTGTTGGAGAGTAATAGAGAGAGGCTGAGAGAGAAATTGTTGAAATTAAGATATTTAAAAAGTTGTATTTTGTCATAAGATGAGATCGCTGTATATTATACAACATATTTTTACAGATATTTTCCCAAGTCGAATATTCATTACTCATGAACACGAGTATTTGGTTTTACATAAGAACTTTAAATAGCTGTTAACATAACTATGATCCTCCTTGTTATACCTCAGGGCATAAAGAAATATATAACTAGCCATAAAAGTTCTTGTAGGTTGACATTAGGCGAAGAAATGATATAAATATGTATACATACATATAGATATATAAAAAGGCTCTGTATGCCATTATGCCTACAGATGTATGTTTGTATCTTTGTGCAAGAAACGAAGAAAGTGATGCTTTCTATACGCCCATCGCTGGAGTAAATGCTAGTACGTAACTCGTTATGATTAACTGTTTAACAGATTAAATCTAAACTAGATGTCCTACGATCCTATGTTTTGAAAATGGCGAATCTATGTGAATATTGTCAATCAAATAGTATACTATTTTCAAAACGTAAATCCGTTGAATAGCCCATGGGGCATTATATTGTACATTTAATTTAAAAAATGTAATATTAATGTAATTCAATGTATATTACATAATTATATAGATCACTGTATAAATATTTCTAAATATACCAATGTACTATAAACAAGACTTGAATGACTAATGTTTTCATCTTCGAAAATCCAAATCAGGTAGACTTATTTTGAAGAGTGGATCATTAAAGAAAAAATGTAAAATGTAAGTAAATACCTTTGTTCTTGAAGTAATGGTAGCCTTTAACGTTTTTTAAATAATATGCTGCTCGGCGTTTTCACAATATAATTATGGTCTTTTAAATCCACATCTGTAACCTGTAATTAACTCTTTGCTTTAGAATTAGGCTCACCTTGCCGAAAACTTGTCATAATGAAGTAAACACCGATTTCCATCGATCGTACATTGGGCAATACTTACTTTTTGTCCAGTACTTGTGAAATTTGAAACTGATTTAGAAACTGGAGACTTGTATAAAATGTTGTCATACTGTTTAACCTCTCTAGCAATATTTTCCTTTATTTGATGTCCGTCGGAAAACGAATTCGCTTCAAGTTTTCTTTCAATTTTTACTTCTTCCCTGAGATATTCAGTCTTTTTATTGCCTGTTCCAATTTCCTTCTTTTTCGGTGATTTCGATGATAGCGATAGAACCGTAGATCCTAAGGTTTGCCTTGCGTCTTGATTTGACGTCCTGTAAAATGTTGAAATTGCCCCGTATTTAGGTACTGATGTCTTCAAGTAGGATTTGGATCCACGCATCTCGTCATCAAAGTTCTTCCTCCCGGTATAAAAAAATTGGCCTGATAATTCCAGTAATTGCATTTTTTCTACAGTATGTTTCGCAATCGGAACATTCGTATCTCTTTCATCAGTATTTACTTGTAATAACAAGTCGCTTTCTTGCAAAAATTCTAACGCACTTCTTAATCTATAATGATAATATCATTATTAGCACTGTGTTGAAAAATCAAAATTTCGTGCTGTAATTAGTGGTAAGAACCCGCCTTACCGCAAGCATTCTGGGTCATGAAACAAAAATTGTTTCAAATTTTCCAATTCTGCCAATGCTGCGTTTAAATTGCGCTTAGTTATATCATCTCCATTTAAATCGGTAATTTTTTTCTCAATGACAGCTATTTCCTCCTTGAGTCGTTTCACGTTCTCCAATTTTTTACTCACATCTAGGAAAAAAAAATTTAATAATGGAATTTGATTGCTCGAACAATGCAGTGTTTCAATGAGTACCACCACCATTTGATATCGACTTATATTCTTCTTTTGCACTTATATTTGAATCTTGCATATTTATTTGTTTTATTATTTTCACACTTTTTAAATGTTGTTTAAATATGGTATGGAAATGGTTTTCAGAAAATGTCCACACGTCCTCGGAAAAGATGTCTTCTAAATTCCAAGCCTCATCTTGAAGATTATGCTGAAACAATTGGAAAATTTGTAATGCGTAAATAGCGAACTTTATTTGAAATTTTCGACTTTACCAATTTTTGTATCTCGTTTTTCGATTCCATCTCCTTTTGGTGCAATATCTGGTTACTTAAACGGACTAAGTCTTTAAGTAATTGTAATTTAATGTTCTTATCAACATATTCGCATAATTTAACACTTGATTCAGTTATAGAATCTTGGACAGGCTGTCGACCCGGAATAATATTGACGTTCTGCATTCTCTTACATTAAATTGCCTTGGTTTTTCCTTAAAAACAGTTTATAACTTTCATCGGAAAAATTACTCACTTGAATTTTTGCATTTAAATATGGCGGCGAAAAACAAACCTTCCCCGTCGAGCTCCTGTGGTCGCAGGTGCGAAAAAAATTCACCAGTGGCTGGGCAGCCCGAAAACCGGCTGAAAAAGTCATGTACCCTTTAAAAAATCGTCAAACCCTGTATCTGCCATCGCGATTGCGCGAGCCCCCACCAGAAATGTGTTGCGCCGCCATTGAGGGGTAACAGGTAGCAACTGCGTTAGTCGTCGGCATCCTCCACCGGGAGGCAGCAGAGGAGTCGATTGCGCGACCCTGCCCATGACCAATCTTCCAATTCATCTCTGGTGTAGATAGTACAATATACGTGACATTTTATTACGTACTGAGTGAAGGAGTTTGATTTCTAATAAACAAAAGCATATTAAGCAATTATGGATGGAAGTGGTTTTAAATTGTTGAAAAAACCGTAAGTAAAGTCATCAGTCTTTATAAATTACCAATGTCGGATTAAATGTCACGTATAGATCTTGATAATATTTATAGGTTATTCGTAGCTTTTAACGTTCGGTGATATCACTAACCTACGTAAACAATTTTTGAGTTTGTCGTGACGTTAGGTTTTGATGATGTATGCTTCTTCTTTTAAGAAACCCGTATCCTCAGGGAATGCGATGTCAAAAATGTTTGGAAATGGGTCACTGGAGTTATGAATGTAAAGGAAAAAGAAAATACATACACCGAACATCCCGTACTGCACATTTGAAAAAGGTCATAAAAGAACAAGCCGAAAATAAAATGTAAGAAATAAATCACATGAACGTAATATTATTGTTATATTTACACTTAACGAAATTGTATTGTTCATTTAAATATAATTTCATGTATTCAATATGAATTTAATACTTGTAAAGTAAAGAGTGGTATATTTTCTTTTGCTTTAGAGATCAATGCAAAGTTGAACACACAAAGCCAGTAAAGAAGAAGATAAAGGAAGATTTAAGTTCTAGCGATTCATCCTCATCAAGCAGTAATAGCGGCAGTTCGGACAGCTCTGATAGTACTTCTTCCGACAGTGAATCAGATTCCAGTGACAGCGTATCTAGTAGCACAACTAGCACTTCATCTAGTAGCATAAGAAAACACAAGAAATGACACCTAGATACATTTTTTATTTAACCATACAATATCTTTCAAGATAGTTTTATTTTATTTCAAAAATATTTTAAATCGTGTTTGAAATGTAATATGTATATTTTTTTATTTTTAACTCATTACATCTCATCTAGAAACATGTGAAACAGTAAAATTAACTGTTAAATTTATGAAACACATTCCAACTTAATTCTTGTGACATGGCAACGATGTATATAGAATTCGATTAAATGTAAGTCTCACCTACATTAGTTTAAGTCATTAATCATGTTGTATAAAAAGTAAAAATGTATTTCATCACTTATTCGTAATACACTTACAATATCGTTAAAGCTACAAATTTCATATCAAAACATGTCGGTACTGATAAAAATTGAAAAAAACTAATTAAAAATATTACATCGTACATTTCTACACTTCACATACACGTACAAAAAGTTCTTACAAGTATTTTATAAGCTTATGGAAAGTGTAAATTAATAGTACTTATAATACTCATAGGCACAGATGAATTTGATTTTCAAGGCAACAAGTAGCGTCGTACACATTTGTAAAGATCGTTAAGTAATGAACGTCAGTTTCAGTTTTTTCATTCATCAGCAGTTTCTGGGAGAGTCTGTACTATCATTTTTCTTTTTGGATTGTATACAAAATTATTCATCTTAAATATGTCACTTTCGTAAAATGAACTCAAATTATGAATATCGATTTGTTTAGCCTGAAAGAATAAATTTGCAAAATTTAAGGTGTACATACATATAGTCAGAAATAATAGTGTATGAATTTAAATAAAAAAAATTGAGAAACTTGAGATTACCCGATCCAGCATATCTTTTTCTGGAATTTCAATCGTACTAACACGTCCACCATGCAAAGCTTTCTGAAAAGCCAATGTATCCAGAGTAATCTGCCGAAGTATATAGTACAATAATTCACTGTGGTCCTTTTTAAATGACAGATATCTTTGAAACGTCTGTAATAAAATGTGATGCAGGTGTTTCATCAAATTTTTACTTAATTCTATACCAAATGGCTGTTCATTTAAATTATTACAACTATTGTTAATTTACCTGCCGCATACTCTTCATAACAGAATATTTCTGAGTTTCAACAAAACTATCAAGCATCATTCTTATTGCAAGATTTACATCTTCCTCTCGCACATGATCTCGCAAATGCAGTTTAGCACTGGCTTCTGCCATTCGAATTACACTTTCAATATGACGTACTGTTATGGGTAAACTCCCAGTAGCCTGTAACAAGAAAAAGGAAATAATCATTTCACGTAAATTTAAAGGTAATATTAGTTTTAATATATCAAGATATTTACCAGACTCTCTTGTCTAAGTTGACTATACATTTTTGCAATTTTATCTTGATCAATATTGGCCAATTTAGGATGTATATTTTGTCTTGCATATACGATATACTTCTTCAAGAGATCTTGTGGAATTGATATGTCTTGTATGTTAGAATTTAATTCAATGGGAACAGTTCGATTGGCGTTCGAAGGATGGTGCCTGATGTGTGAACTGACAACAAATTTGGCTAAATGCCGATCCTGCATGGGATCAACCTCATCTTTAACAATACACAAAATGTCAAAACGTGAAATGATTGGTTCTGACAAAGCCACCTAAAAATCATAAAATATATTATTTTTATAAAAGCAAAAACAGCTGAACGGAATAATTGAAATACTTTCTGATTATAATAATGCTCTAGAAATTTATAGAAAACATCAAACTGATTTTGTAAGGTAAAAAAATATTAGGTTCATACGTTTTCTGAAAATGTCATGCTAGCATCATATCGTCCTCCAATGGGATTTGATGCTGCAATAACAGAACATCTTGCATGTAAGGTCGTAACGATACCGGCTTTAGAAATAGAGATGCTTTGCTGCTCCATAGCCTCATGAATGGACGTCCGATCTTGATCGTTCATCTATGAAAACAGATACCTACACAATGTGCACTCTAGATTTGGGTATATATTATTAAAAGAAAAGAAACCTTCATTGAAACTTATTGATCAAGGAGTTAGATGTACCTTATCAAACTCATCGATTAAGCAAATTCCTTGATCTGCTAATACCAATGCACCTGCTTCCAACGTCCATTCTCTTGATGTCGGAGACCGTTTGACGTAAGCAGTTAGACCTACTGCTGAAGCACCCTGACCTGTCGTAAAGATTGCTCTCGGAGCTATTTTCTCGGTATATTTGAGAAACTGAGATTTCGCCGTCCCCGGATCTCCACATAGCAAAACATTTATATCACCCCTCACCTTATGTTTATCACCTTTCAGCAAACATAATAAATGTTTAATATATTATTCAAATTTGTGGGTATTTTAGAACGGATTGAATAAGAATCATACCAGGATTTTTAGGTTCTCCACCAAATATTACTAAGGCAAGTGCCATCTTGATGTATTCGTGACCATATATCGAAGGAGCTATACTAGCTGCTATCCGATCAGCAATGCGATGATCTTTACTTAAGGAAATTATGCTATTAATATCTTCCTCGGTCAAAGACTCAACAATTTCTTTAGAATCTTTGACAAATAGATGATTTGCTAGTAACACTGTTGAAAATACTGGAAAACCCTGAGATATTAAATAGTATACATTAATTTGTAGTTTCAATATAAATTAATTGCACCTATTTAATGTATTTTCTTATTAATTTCGTCCAATTTAATGTTTAACATACCTGTTCAGTATTCAGTGATCCATCATAGCTATTTGTGTAAATGGCTGTTACATCAATCTCATCGCCTGGTTTGCAGCGATCGCACAAATCAGACAGTAAAATGCAGTCTTTGGTGCGTGGTATTCGACCAGCTGGAACACGACCAGGAGACTCTTGAATGCTTATCTTTTGATAGTTCCGATATATAGTTTGTTCCATATTTATCTAAAAATTGTAAATGAATCAAGACATCACATCATTTTTACAGTAATTAATATTATGATGAACAAATTAATTAACATTTGACTTACCATAAATGGACCATTACTTTGACACTCCGGACAGGAGCCAGGTTTAACCTCCGTGCTTTGAGATTGAACAAATGGACCAAGAACATTACCGCATTTTGTGCAGTCGTATTTAACAATAGATAATTGAGGTAAAACACCAGTAGTTGCAGTTACCACCCCAAGAGTCCTTACTAACTGATTCAGATGCAACTTTCTGTCAATTTAAAAAAAAAAAGAAAAAAGTGTTCTCAATGTCAATTACATGAAATACAAATAAATTATTAAACACTGCCAAAATAAGAAAAAAATAGTTGCCAGAAATTTGATTACCTAAATGTGCGCAGCTCCTCTATAAGAGGTAATTCTGATATCCTAACGTGAATTTCAGATGTCACTCTTTCATAGCTTGGGAAAATCGTTAAAACCACTTCTTTTGCAACTTCATCAAATATTTCCAACATTTGAAATGGAGCTTCAGGTAAGAAATATGCTAGTACATGTTCTTTGCTTGCGAGAATTGGAAATTCAACAACAAAGCTAGACTGTATTTAATTTAACAGAAAAATGTATTAATTTTACAATTATAAAGTTACTTTCAATTTTATGTACAAAGTGATAATTACCTGATTGCTTTCACACATGTGCCTAATACGTTCTTTATATATATACTGCCCAGTGGAATTCATATGCTGCCTTAGAAAGCTCTTAAAACGATTAGCGATCTCTGTACGAGGTCCTAACATCATAACCCACTCTTTAACCGAATGACCTTTAGTATCTTCCAAATTTTCTATCGATTCAATTAACTGCAAATAAAAGTTCTGGTTTTGCTGTATACATAATTAGTAAATTATGAATACTTATTAAACATATATAGAAAAATTACAGACCTCCATATCATCTAATTCACCTTCTGCAGCTTTTTCAGCCAAACGTCGCTTACGTGTAGGCACTTCATCGTCATCACTTTCATCTATAATTATTTAATTAGAAAATGAATGCTACTAGCTTTACGGAATACTATCAACTCTCCTAAAAAGTATAGATAGTTTCATATAAGGGACTTACCATATAAAAGCTCTCTATCATCTCTAATAATTCCTGCAGCACGATCTCGCTTATGCATCTCTGCTTCAGCAGCTAGCCTATCTCCTTGGGATAACTCCGAGTAATCTTCATCATCAACCAGATTGGGATCATATCGATCCAATGCCGACATAGGACGGTAGTCTCTTTTTAAAAAGGGCATTTTATTATATTACATTTACTTAATATGTATAAGCATTCGCCTATATTAAGCATATTTACGCTTCCATATTGTCTCCAAATAACTCTTCTCCATCTTCTTCTTCTTCCTCTTCATTTTGAACATTATTATCACCAAGTAATTCACTTTCATCTTCAAATGGCTCATCTATGTCTGGAGCAGGAGATGTCATAGTATCTCCATACCTATCCGATCGTACGGGAGAACTTACTTGGCTCTGAAAAACATTAAAATAATTTCACAACGTCAATTGTAATGCCGCCAACAAGTTTAGACTTGTGACAATAATGCATAGTTGTGCAATATTTATCTGTAAAAAGTCTTATGGAATTGAAATAATATTTACACTCTATTTTTAAATTAATTAAAAATTACCATAATGCCGGTTATAAACAGTCACTTCAAAGCCTTGCAATATTATATGATGAAGTTTCGTTAATATAACTATATAAACTAATATATCATTGGACTTTTTTCCGAGTACCAAAAATAAACACTCAGGAATACGTAAACGTGCCTTTCGGAGATTTTACCGGCAACACCGTTACAAATGGTTAAAAATGTTAAAGCAGGGAAATGAGAGCAGATGAGAGTAGCCACCTTTGACTATAAAGTCAGAGACGAGTTGGGAGATTGCTCACGGGTGGGGTCGCAAGATCAGTCCTGTGCTGTCCCCCGGTGGAGAACGTGGACAGCTAACGCACTTGCCACCTGATACCCTCCAAATAGCGACCAATTCAGGGATTCCCCTCATCACAGCTCCCAACTCATCTCAGAAATGAGAGTGCCGGAGAATGCCGCAGAATACCGAAGAGTGCCGGAGAGTTGCTAGAGATTGCCGGAAAGTTACCGCAGAGTACCAAAAAGTTTCGGAGAGTGCCGGAGAGTCCCGGAGAGTGTCAGAGAGTTGTCGCAGAGGGCCGGAGAGTGTCGGAGAGTGCCGGAGAGTTGCACTCTCGCTGCACGAGAGTTCCGTACACGACACTGACGCGTGCCCCAAAGCTCCGCATCACGTCGACTTCGAGGCATCAATGGACTTAATAGTAGTAGATAAGTAGATAAAGTCAAAAGGAGCGTCACGAGTGTTCTTCCCTTACCATCAAAAGCGAGCAGTATCGGTAAGCGTAGGTAAGTCACCACCGTCAACTGCCGCATGGTATTACCATCACAAGTACGTGAGCCGCCAACGGCGACTGGTAGATGGTACCGCCATCGCGAGTGCGCGAGCTCCTATCAGAAAATCGTTGCGCCGCCCTTGGGGGCAAAAAACGATGAAAGCTAACATACGAAACCAGAGGGCAGCACAGGATGCGATCACACGATCTTGCCCGTGAGCAATCTCCCAACTCGTCTCTGCTCATCTCTGTGATAACAAACATCGTTTACCATCTTTTAACGTCTCTTACCATCTCCAGCAAGATTCATGACGATAGACTACAATAGACTACTAATGATGACTTGAAAAAAAATAGATCCTGTTGTGATCCACCTAAACCTGGAATGGGGCACAAAAGAACAGGCAAACCGGAACATTAAAGAAAATCCAGGAAGTCTGAGATTAAATAGCGAATAAGTTACTAAAAGTCAAGAATATTAATGGTAGATCGATCTCGTTAAATTTAATTTGAAATCCGGGAGCTGGGTTTGGCCGCGACCGCTGGCCCGACCCAGCTCCCGGATTGAGCCAGGCCAGTGAATTTTTTTCGCACCTCAATCACTCCAGCTGAACCCAGAAGGTTTTTCCCTTCAACTTGGTCATTAGTCAAAAATGAGAAAATCATTTACTTTTAAGAATAAAATAAGTTGTAGTAACATTTTATTATTAATTGAATTACACTTGAATTATATATAATTTAACATGTTTTACTTACATGTTACAATTAAACAAATGCTGAGACTAATAACAATGTGTATTATTTTTTAAATAAAAATCTAACTTAAATTAACATTATTCCTCTTGAATTAATAAATTATTTTTTAATATTTTTAAACATTCAATTTCATTCATTGCAACTGCTATCTTTGACTGGACATTTGCCATCTGCACGGAAAGGGAAAGCGAAGTCTGAAATCTCTTTTGTGCAACCTTTAAATTTTGTGGAACCAAAACACCAAACCATTTAATTGGATCTTGAAAAAGTTCTTTAGAGTTTTCTTGATCTTTCAAAGTAATATCAAAATGTGGTATTATGTTATTTCCATTTTTCGTTATCGTTGTTTCTAAATCAAATAAGGATGTCATTTGTCGGTCTTCAGCAGGGACCTGCAAAATTCCAAAACTTTCTTTTCCCCGAATGTACCGAGTTTTTGCCAGCTCGATATGTCCATCACGTAAAAGCTGTTCCATTTGTATACAAGTTGATATCTTTTCCTCCATCAATTCCAAATTTTGAATAGTCAATCCATCAATTCTGGTACAAACATCCTCTAGGTTTTCCGGCATAATTTAATCACTAGAAAATAAGTAATATATAACTGTATTATTCTATTTACAGACACAACCAAACCCATAAACAAAAGCTCCACTCAATATAAGAGATTCTTTAGAACCACATGTGTTGCCACAATGTTTTAGGTTAGGCTCACCTTTGTCGTTGTATATCAGCGTTTACTTTAAAATAATTTGTAATTTATAAATTCAACCTTCAAATGATGTAACTCCCAAGTTTTGCTTATTTTTCATTCTTCAATACAGGTTACAAATAAGTCCCTGTAACGTCAATATCTTGACTAGTCCACTTTCACCATGCATTTGTCCTTTTTGTGTCAAGATTTCCTTATGAGGTTAAGTCGGTGCAAAATTTAATTAATATAAAATTAACATTAATACGATACTTTATATTTCTTTTATATTATTACCATCTAAAGTGTTATTTACACTTCTTTATCTTAGTTCTAATGAAATCAATTACTTTCCATCATTTGCTTGTCGCTTATAAAGTGTACAATGTATCGTATACCCCTGGTATTACACGATAATTTTATTTGTTAAATATAAAAATTCACATCTGAATTTTAAAGTCAATATCCATATGTACAATGTAAAATTTTTATTTAAAGCATCATGCTTTGTGATAATGACATCACTGCAGAATTATTATGCAATTATTCACTGATTTTTTTTCTTGTATAGTACTATATATTTCCCATAGTTGTTCTGTGGGAAGTGGGTATAATATATTTTAGCAATCAGCTTATAGTCATTTAAAAATGGTATTATTTTAGAGACCAAGTCATCAAACATTATTATATAGGTAGGTAAAGTTGCATCTTTATCATCAATGTAATTGCGATTGAGCCAATCCATTGGTTCCTCAAAAAATATACTCGTTTCATCTGTGTAATTTTGCAAAGAGTTCAAATTTGGTTCACATGTTAAGAATTTTATCGATACGTTTACATGCAAGTGACTATAAAGAGGCGTTGCATGGCATGGCATCAGATATAGAATTTTTGTTTCTGTAACATTGACGTTTCCTAATTCATTTCTTAGTATCTTCATTAAATCCAACGATCCCCTTTGGTGAATGAAACAGAAATAAAGGCCAGGCAACAGATTACTTATTAAGAGTACCAGAATGATAATCTTTCTTTTATATTCTGAGATTTTGTAATTCACATGAGTCGTGCCACGTGCAATCAGGTGAATGAATAGTGGCAACAATGGTAGGAGAAAGCGGAATTCTTTGTGAGACTGAGTAGAATAAATGCCAATTGTCCAACAAGTTATTAACAGCATCATTACATCTTTATGCATAGTGATGCCATATTTAATGATCTGCCAAATTGCTATCAATAACGTAAAACTGTGCAGACCGAGTATAACTGGTATACCACACATAATATACCAAAGCATGTGTTGTCTTCCATAAAAGTCAGCAACTTTGTGTAATACATTTGCACGAAAAAATTCCCATGGGGTTATCACAAATTCTTTGTAACATAGCGTATCGATCGATATCGATATTAACAGTATCATGCTACCGATTGCAATGTACCGCATAAACGTATTCATTTTACTACGAGAATTTGCACATAAATGATACAAGCATAAAGGGATCCATATAACAGCTGCAGTAGGTCTCGCAAAGCACAGGAAACCAACGATCCATACAAATTTAAGACTTTGAGAATCGCTACTTCTCCAAGGAAAAATTGAGAGAGCTATAATGGTTAATGCTGTCTCCACACTGTTTATCAATGTTCGAGTTGCACAGTAATACCAATACCAATTAATGCACAAATTAAACAGTGCCCACTTGTTGCGGGTCCAAATATAGAACCGATAATCGGCATATGCACTAAGGATTGCCTGAAATAACCTCGGTGCTGTTATCAAAACGGTAGCATGGTCAATGCAAAGAAAAGCTAGAATTTTATATAAAATTGCTATCAGAAACGGATATATGTAACTCCGTATTTTGGTGTCCCACTCCCACGTTATGTATCCGTATCCAAATGCCATGCGATGAGCTATCTCCAGCGATTGCCAGTATTCATCAGGCACGTGTGCAGTTTGAACCACAAATACGGAAAGTAACCTCCAGACAACCAATAAACAAAAGGTCCGTCCAATTCTACTCGTGAAGGCCATAGTGTAGATAATACTTCGTGGTGTCCCCGATTTTAGTGTCTCAACCGTTACATTAACCATTTATTGTTCTTTGTCATTTCGAAGAATCTTTGTGTAGCAAGTACCGATAAACAAATTTTCATAGAACTCGAGTTTTACCTCGCTTTGCGCACGCATTCCACAAATACTTCGTATCGTATAGAGCACGATATTGCGATTGGTCGATGCTCCAGAAACAACGGCCATGTTGGACCATTTTGCTTTCCGATTGGCCCTTATGTTTCCGATCTATACTATCCGATATTTCCTCGACACCACGTAAAGTCGATAGCATCGTTTACAAACGGTGGTCGATATCTGTAGACTCGTCGTTCTTTTCGAAGCGAGAAATTGAAGTTCGATATCTGTAAAATAATTCGTCAAATGTCGTTTTGAAATATCGGAGTGTTCGCGGTAAATTTGTTATAGTGCCGGGAAAGTACGGGTTTAATTTCAAGGAGCAAACATGCGTCTTTTCTTAAGAAGTTGTGACTCAAATTATGCAATGAAAGCCCTCCATTTTGGGAAGATATGGAGTTTGTGAAACGCTGTAAATAGAGTAAATGTATATTTTACCCGGCTTCGTAAGAAAACGGAGTTTCATATCAGTTATGTACACCGGTGCCTAATTATGGAAGGTAAGCAACTAACGGCGTCCAACAGTGCCAAGTCTTGTACGGATGACAGCAGGAGTGAAATGCAAATGGTACTTGCAAAAATGATGGAAGAGAAACACACGTATACTTATAAGAAACTGGTTGTACCAATGTCTATGCGGAGTATTTATTGGAAGTTTTTCGGATTTCCAGCCACCGACGACGGTGACATTCTCACTAAAGTGAAAATCGTTTGCATCCTATGCAAAACTCAAATTGCATACAATCGTAATACGAGTAACCTGCGAATGCACTTACAAAACAAACATGCACAAGAACTGCTCGAGCTAGAATCGTCAAATCCACCACGGAGGCAAGTCCTTTCTCAAGAGACTAAGGAACGTAGAGCGCAGAAGCGCATGTTGAAAGCAGGTTTAACCACTGCTCAACACATTTATACGACTAATGTCGATGGCACCGTTCAAATAGATGGAGACATTCAGTTCGTTACGGATCCAAATATTAATTTGTCTAATATTGAGGATGATATCGGTATTGGACAACCATTACGTGTTATGATAAAGGGAGGATCGAATGTAGGTGGTAACAGTCAGAATGTTGCATTTCTTATGCCCGAAGAAAGTACTGTACATCAAAGCAGTGTCGACGGAAAGACTGTATCGGATGCCATTGCAGAGTTTATTATAATGGATCTTCAATTGCCAGAAATAGTGGAAGGACGAGGATTTCAAAGACTGGTTGCCACCTTAAGATCTCCTTGTGAAATTCCAAGCAAAAATAAATTAGAGGAAGAAATCATACCAAAGGTTTACGATACATTTCGAGAATCGGTCACAGCAAATTTGTCTTGCATAAACAGTGAAGTTGGTTTAGCTATGGAAGAATGGAAATCTAACTCTGATGAGAGTTTCGTAACGGTGTCGGTATATTATCAAAATATTGGGGAAGCGCTGTTGGACTGTAAAGTGCTCGGTACAATGCATGTGCCTATGGACTGGACTGAATCGCAATGGGGAAATTCTATCAATTCTCTGTTGCTCGATTGGGACCTCAGAATTGAACGAATCACAGCAATTGTCATTGGAACCTCGAGACCAGAATTAATTGCAGCACTAAATGCCAAAGGGTTACCGTTGGTACCTTGTTTGCTTCATACATTGCAAGTATGTGCACAAGCATGCTTTGAGAATCTTGAGGTTGCACACATTTTAAATAAATGTAGGGCAGCAATTGGTGCAATTGTAAGTCATCCAGCGGCTTCTGCAGCCCTATCGATGCAAGAACAAATTTTAGAGGTATTAATTACCTACAACTTGTTATCCGTTATAAAATCGCATAAAATTTAGTTCTCCTTCACTTTTGTTATATTTCAGTTAGAAGAAAATGCTATGGTTATGGATTATCCAACAGTTTGGACATCGACCTACCATATGCTGGAACAAATGGTTGTGCGACGTAACATAATTACTTCCATCTTAGAGAGTATGGAAGGCATTGATCAAGACACCGTTGATCTTTCTAACGAGCAATGGAAGGTTATAGAAGATCTAGTTAGTGTTCTGGAGCCATTCAAAGTTACTATTATGACACTGAGTGAGGAGAAAATGCCATTAGTATCGTTATTAAAACCGTTACTATGGCAACTAGTTTCTTCTCATCTCAAGATTAAGGACACGGATTCTGAAATGGCTCGATCTTTCAAGGAATCCTTATCTGATATGCTCTGGGAACGATATGCTGACGGGAATGTTACGCTTCTTCTGCAAATTGCTACCACGTTAGATCCCAGGTAACTTTTCCCAAATATAACCTGTGAATAATGTATGATAAACAATTGTAAATGCATTTTACCATGACACCACTGTAATTATAAGAAGTTCAGAGGTGTAATTTTAATTTTTATTTTCAGATTTAAACAACTACCTTACGCTACGGATGAAGATAAAAGTATGGTTGCAGCACCGATAAAAGAAATGTTAACAAAATTAATAGCTGACGAGGGAAATGACCAAGTAGATGTCAAAATGGAGGAGGAACCTGTTACAAAGAAGAACCGATTGTCAGGTACCTAGATTTTCTTAACAATGATACGACTATACGATTTTGAATTCATATGGTAAACGTTATATCTATGTGGCTATGTGTTCTATAGGAATGGAACTTTTGCTTGGTGGGCTATGCTCAACAAAGACTGGAATGTCAGCAGAAGAGAAAGCAGATTTAGAATTGGTGCAATACCATTCGGAGGCGACAGCTCCTTTAGATTACTGTCCTTTGCAATGGTGGGCTCGAACATCGGCAAAATGCCCGAATCTTGGTAGGCTAGCACGCAGATATAACTGTGTTCCTGCTTGCTGTGCACCACCCAGTCGGATTCCTGCAGAAGCTCAAATTCTTTACGACACAAGACGTGCCGCATTGCCACCTCATCTGATCGACAAATTGTTATTTCTTCATGGCAATCATACGGTATGAACATATAAATGAAGGCGGCATAACTGCCTGTTTAAAGAAAGATAAACTTGCAGCCAAAAGATGCGATATTTCTACATGAAAGATGCAGCTTTCCTTGGCACGACCGTGTTTTAATAACGTATCAAACTTTGTGCCGGAATCATTCTTTCATCGTGCACTAAGGAAGGATATTTAAATCAAGAATCAGATGTGCGTCGAACTCCTCGATTCATATGTATATATACACATTTATACATACACTTCATCTATTGGAGAGCGATGAAGCAAAAGCTCCTATGAGGGTGCTTTTGTACAGTGATAACTTTGCAAAAAGTGTTAAAGAGGAAGAAGGGCCATTGTGATACATTGTTGAACATATATTTTACTTGCGAATCGAATAATTATGTACCAATGGAAAGCAGAGAGTTTACAGCAGTTTGGAAGAACTTTACGGATTGCGTTATCTCAAATAATTTCCTTAATTATAATGTCATGAATGTACATAGTTTCCAAAATTGTTTATAATATACTGACAGATATTATAACTAAAAGCTTAGGGTTATTATGTACAATAGACACGATGTACAGCATTGTCAGTAACCACCTCTTTGAAGTGACAAAGTATCTTCGTTCCTCAAAATGGAAATCATATGTCCACCAAACGATGCAAAGCAAGAATATGTATTGTGATAACTGTACAAAAATCGTAAATAACGGTGAAAACTAACATTGAATGGGTCAAAACAATAATATCAAATGATGTGAATTATTTTATTCTCATTGTCATTTATGTCCTGGCCATTTGACATTATTATTAATGGATTGTATATTGCATAATTATATAAGATATTGGTTTGCGTGATGGCGTTTGCTGTATATACGTAACATATGTTGAAATTTGTAAATACAAACTGGATCTTTGAGCTTGTTTATTTAAAAAATACTTACGATATTCTCATTTGCATTATAAATTAATAATTCAATGTAGTTTATCACACTCGCTTAAGAAATACGTTATATTGAAACATAAAATTGTATGTTAATTAGATACATGCAAAGAGAAACTTCAAAACCAGTGAATATTATGTGATCACGTGTAAATTTGAAGATATGAAATACAGTACTTTTTACTGATGTAATATTTACCCTTATTTGAAACAATGTATAAATTTTCAGTATGGAACATTAAGAACTATACTTATGGAAGATTCAAAGGCTTCTCCAACCATGTAGATCCTTCAAAAAATCTAGGATCTGCAATTCGTAAGGATGCCCTCTTGTAAAAGTAGTAGTAAGACACAGCAACTGTCACCCATACATTGATACAAAGTATTTTATTTATCAGTTTAATAAAATTATGTAATTAAATGCTATCCATAATTGATTACTTTTTACCTGTTTTATGTAATGAGAAAAGACCATGGAATTCTTTAGTCCAATACTGATTTAATGGATGTTGCCAGTGAATCGTCATATCCCACACATGTAGCATGATACTTAAAATTATATAAATTACACATAACATCAATGTAATACGAAATCTGATATACAGCAATTGTATCAATCCAACCTAAAGTAAAAAAATCATTGATACAAAAAACTTCCAGAAATTTTATACTCACATAATCATTATTTCAAAGAATCTATTAAACGTAATTTTATGAGTGTAATATAAAATGTAGTTACCTGAAAAATATACGTAGAGAAAAAGTTGACCAAAAGTAACGTAAGAGCAACAATTAAGCAGAAATCTTGAATTCTGTATAAATGTAAATTTGATGTATAAGCATAAGCATTAATTTCGAGAATATTTTGTGTATACTTACACATAAAGGACGAGCAAATCCACTGGATGTGATCTAGCAAAACTAGCAAAGGAATTTACGGAAATATCAAAAAATAGCAAAATATGCTGCAATAATATGACACCAGAATACTGCTTTAATGTTAAAATGCTCATTTAAACATGTGTTGAAAGATTTCCAGTGTGTTAAAGATGTTTAAGACTGTTGGTTCGCGTCATGACAAATATGTCTCACTCATTTCCATGGCAACAAGCTTAATTGAATAAGAATACAGAAGAGTTCTATAATAAGATATGAAACACGAAATTGAGGTTTCAGGCGCATGTCCATCTATACTTGCCAAGTGGCGCCATTATTTCTTATCCAAAATGTAAACTGTAGGAGTCAGCTTTACGACAGGTTTTTGGATATGAAGTACAAAAAACTGAAATGGATCATGATTTAATATGATTATCAACATATCTGGCAATTTATATGTGATCTAGTTTATGTCTCATTTCTATACACGCGGAATCAACGCGGAGCGCGGAACGCAGAATGGCCCTGAGATGGCTTAACCAATCAGCGTAATGCCTTAACCCCACGCGCCTATCGCGTTCCGTATTTCGCGTTGATTCCGTATGCTTTCCGCGTGTATGGAAATAAGGCATTACGGTGCTAGGAGTCATTGCAGTTTATTTCAATTCGTCGCGTGAGTTATTTATGTATGTATGTACGACTAGTTTTCATGACCAAACATTAACGTCAAAAATCTCTCATGGATGCACGAAGACGAGATCGAGAGCAAATTGGACTTTTCGGTGTGGATAGAGTATGGGGAAAATCACCAGCGCGCATTGAAGAGTACGCACGTTTATTTTTTACAAAATTAAAAATACCTTATGCCATTTCTGTTTCATTTATCAAGATGATTTATTTAGTTGACATTAACCAGTTTTCATTTTATTAGCACGAGCGATGAAGATGAGGTAATTAATAAGCGCAAGGATGACTCGATACTTACAGATCGGAAGAGAAAGAAGGAAAAGAAAAAGGTAACATTTATTGATAGATTATAGTCTTTAGGTCAGTTTAAGATATATTAATTTTGTACATTGCTTATAGAAAAGCAAAAAATTAAAAAAAGAAAAGAAAGCCAGGAAAGAAAAAAAACGGAAGAAGAAGAAAAAGAAATACTCTGACAGTAGTTCCGACGATTCAGATGAAGAAAAGCTAGAATGGGTAGAGAAGGATGTCTCTAAAGTAACAAAACGAGGAAGGGGATCTAATTCTGATGAAAGCGGAGACGAAGGACTCGTAGGTCCGATACAGAAACAACACGTAACATTATCTGCTAAGGATTTTGGAAAGGCATTACTACCGGGTGAAGGTGCCGCAATGGCTGCATATGTAGCAGAAGGAAAACGTATTCCACGGAGAGGTGAAATTGGACTCACATCTGATGAAATTGCTTCCTATGAATCTGTAGGATATGTAATGAGTGGAAGCAGACATCGTCGTATGGAAGCTGTACGTATTCGTAAAGAAAACCAAATTTATTCTGCCGATGAAAAGAGAGCATTAGCCATGTTTAGCAAAGAGGAGAGGCAAAAACGAGAAAATCTGATCTTAGGACAGTTTCGAGAAATGGTTAACCAAAAATTAGCTCAAGAACAAAAAAAATAAATATATGTGAATATTAGGGATTGATAAGGAATAATTTTATGGAGTTTGTTAACTTACACTGTACAGATCATTTGTACTTATTTAAGTATAATATTTAATTAATTTGATACTGTTGTCATCATTAACTGCAATATACATATACTTACTATAAATCTAATACAAAAATCAGACAATCGTTTTTCTTGTTTATTGTTTCTGCCTGCTCTCCCATTCTAGCCAGCCACCAGTGTAATTATAAGCACTGTAAAAAAATTTTATATACAATTGTATGTAAATTTTCGCAAAATTCATAATTTTCCATACTTATATCCCATTTGTTTAAGTTCTTCTTGCACCGTAGCACTCCTTCTTCCCATTTTACAGCTTAAAATAATTTTTGTCTGTTTCGAAGGTTTTGGTTTTAAAAACTTATTCTTAAATTCTTCATCCGAAAGTGAGGTGATCAAATTTGCTACATTTCCCACTGAACAAAAAAAAAATTAAAGGTTTTTAAATCACTAATTACATGAATTATAAATAATTTTACAGAATGTACATCAATTCTGCTTACTTGGTATGTGAACACTTCCTGGTAGTTTACCAGTCTCATTGATTTCAACTTGTTCTCTAACGTCTATTAATAAAACACTATCGTCTTTTTGTGCTTTTAAAAGTTCCTCATAAGAAATGTCAAATGTTTTACAATCTCCTTCTCCATGAACGATTTTTGTACACGCTTTCGGATTTGCTGAGTTTGAAAACAGGGAATTTACTGTATTGGAAAGACAATTTATTTTATAAAATGCATCTCCTACAAAATTGTATTTATAAGAATTATGCAAACCCATACTTTGGCACAATTTAAAAGTACGTTTCGATACAGAATTTGAAACATTGCAATCTATTTTTATTAATTTATATTTACTTAAAATAAATACCAAGATTAGTACTGTTCCTTTGACCCATTTGAAGCTTGGAAAAATGATGGACACTATTTACAGAGTGAAAGGATTTCCGTAACCATAATTGAGCATTTCTACTGGAATCGGTAACTGACAATCGTATCAATGAAATTAATCGCAGATTAATCATTGTAGAATACTGTGAAAGTTCTTGATTATTAAACTGTATATGCAATTCACACCATGAATTCTGCTATTATGCAACCGAAGACAGAGATGAATTGAGAGATTGCTCACGGGCAGGGTCGCGCGATCACATCGTGTGCTGCCCTCTGGTTTCGTACGTTAGCTTTCACCGTTTTTTGCCCCCAAGGGCGGCGTAACGATTGGTCGACAATTGGTCGATCCCGATCACGGTCCTTTATTGGGCCGGTGACGTCGTCCAATCACGGAGTCGGGTCGCGGCCGGGGATTGCGGCCCGGCCGCCGGATCGCCAGTTGCTCCTGAAAATTTGCCGCGATAAGACGTCGTCAAAAATTAAGAAAATAGCGAGGGGCGCGAGGGACGTATTGCATACCACGAGAGACATTTATATCGACATGGTGCTATAATTCTCAATCGACGGCATCCAGAGATCGTAACGAGGTGCAAGGGACATTTCTTTCAGCAATAAAATTAATTAGACCGCGCTTGGGAATCGAATAAATGTGCAATACGCCCGGACTGCGCATCCTCGGATTGCAGGTCGTCGTTTTGCTAGCTTTTGAATCTGCTCGCGGAGTAATTTTTTTTTTCAACTTCGAGAAATTAGGGGATTGGATGTTATTTGGGAAATTAGGGGAAAAGGATGTTTGTGAATTTTTTTGCGATGCGAACTGCGTCCACAGTAGCTTGATGGGGAAGGTTGTTGTGTTTAAATTGATCTTCCGAGCTAGTGGATGAGATTTTTTTCGAAGGAGACACAGGGTTTGGAGTTTTTGTGAGGAGTTCATCACTTTTTCAGCCGGTTCTCGGGCTGCTCAGAGTTGTAACAGGTGGCAAATGCATTAGCCGTCTGCATTCTCCACCGAGGGCAGCACAGAACGAATCACGCGTTCCTACCTGTCAGAAATCTCCCAACTAATCTCTGGCAATGGTTGAGTGTATGTTTATTTTTCTAGACATAATGATGTGATATGTTTAAGTAATAATATTATTTATTTTCTCTTGAGAAATTATACGGTTCTCTTATTTTAACTCATCATGACAAATATGATTGACTTAGTATTTTCGAATGCTGCTGGTTCTGCGTTCGTTTGGAATGCTGAAGGTAAGGGATTACTCGATGCAGAATTAGACTAAAAATATGATATAGTGGGACTAATTATTTTTAATAATAAAAGTGTTATATTTCAGACTGGTTTATACTCAGAAAAGAGCATAGAATAATAGGAGAACTAGTAGGGTGTAATCCTAAGTTGCCGAGACAAGAAATTCTTTTAGGTCTACCTTTGCTATTACTTCCAGAAGAGGTAACCGTCTTACTTGAACAGAAAGTAGCACGACTAGTACATTATCCTTGCTTACAACAAATACCAAGTGAATCATTGAAAAAAGCTTTTGAGGATTATAGGCAGGAGTTGTTTGTGGAACAGGAGAAATGTTTAAGAGAACAGAGAAAGCAACAGGTGACTTTGATGCTGGATAGAATTGTTGCAGGTAAAAGACGAAAATTATTAGGTATAGGAAGCTGCAAGAAAAAGATGAAAAAGCCATTAACGCCAGAAATGGAAATTGAATCAAAGAAAATAGAAATTAATTATGAAGAAGTGGTTAGTGAGGAAATGGATAAGCTCCCAAAACTGGAGAAAAAAGATGCTCTTGTGCAAACTCATACCGGTGAGATTATTAACTATATATAAGGTGGGATAAAAGATATAGTAAATGGTGTATTAATGAAGGATTTAAAAAGTTATGTATAAGTTATATTCTGAAGTACCATATTTTTTTTTAATTTAGCTTATCCATGGTTAATGGAAGATGACATAAAACTAGCGGATTGGAAATATCCTTTGACTACTAAAGAAATTTTACGTTATAAAGTTTTTAAAGATTTATGGGAACAGGGGTTCTATGTAACTGGTGGTGAAAAATTTGGTGGTGACTTTCTTGTATATTCAGGTATAAAAATATTCTATAGATTACTATGATTTTATGGTCCACAGTTGAATTTTTCAATAACATTTGATTTTTATAGGAGATCCGATAATGTTCCATTCTCAGTTTATAATACAATGCAGAGATAGAGATGATGAAATAGCCGTATCTGAGCTCATCGGTGAGTGTCGTATTGGATGTCATGTAAGAAAAACTGAAGTATATGCTTCATTTGCCAGTGATAAAGAGACTATTATGTATCAATCGATTCAATGGAGTGAATCCAGTGCATTTCAGAGATAATGACTTAATTTCTATGATTTATGTTAATAATAATAGCAATAATAAAAAGTAAAATAGTTAATATTTATCTATTTATATTTTTATATGTAGCTTGTTTTATTTTTCTATATTGCTTCAACAAGCTTGAAGCAACAATGCTGACGCTCAGGAATTACATGAAAATGTTTCTTATAAATTATTTTTCCATTGTGACCAGCATAATTCCGTTGAACCCAATCATGATCCCAATTTAGATCGACCTTTTCACATGTAACATACACTTTACCGGGTTGTAATGCGCATAATGTTCCATTTATGCCAAATGATACCTAGTGGAAAAATAACAGATAATAACTAAAGCAATAACTCGCTACAATTTTTTCGTTATGGTAAAAATTACGTTATAACCAGGATGAAATCTTGTGGTTCGTTGGGTAGCTAAAATTTTGCCCTCCGGTACGCGAACTCCATCTGGGACCTTATATCCTCTATGCTTAGGTCTTCCATGTTTTGGTGGATTCCTCGTATTCGTGGCAGATTTCTTCGATGCAAATCTAATACTTGCTGTGATATTTAATAATCAGCCATTAGAAAGACTGGGTAAATTATTACATGTAAAGCTCATTTAGGAAAACGTAATAAGATTTTGATTTTAATATACAATTTTGTGTAGAAGGTATGTTGGAAGAATACATACCTACATTACTACTGACACCGGTTAATAGCAAATTTTTTGAATATTTCAATGGGTTAAACAGTAGAGAACCCAATGACATTTTTAATTAATTTCGCGATTAACTTAATTTCGATACGAATGTAGTCAGCCACAGTCAGCCAAAACACTACTCGAATGAAATCGAAGTATCACAGAAAAGCTTGTTGATATGGTGTAATGATGTTTCAGTACCCATTGAAAGAGGACCTAGAAATAGTTTCTGTATAGTGGCGCTGCTCTCCAGAGGACAGAGACTCAGTTTGTAAATTTGAAAAGTAAGGAGACTAAGACTAGGCCAGTTTTCAAACATTTCTTAATTCCGGTAAATTAATTAATAACCTGTAAAAATCGTTCCCATCGTTTCGGAAAATTGCATATATTCTGGACAGAGGATACAACGGAGCAGGCATTTATGTTACTTAATAAATATCGCTTAATATTCGTCTTCCTCTTCAGTGTTTACTGCATCTTCTTGAACCTCGCGGTAATCTAGTTCGAGGGCAGCAAGATCTTCTCTGGCTTCTGAAAATTCTCCTTCCTCCATGCCTTCGCCAACGAACCTAAGATCATTTATTAAATATTAAGTTACATAAGAAATCGTGTATAATCAAAGATAAGTATTCAGCCTGCATAAAGTGGTATTATAGGAAAAAAAAAATACAGTTACTGTCTGGTCATACCAATGTACAAATGCTCTCTTGGCGTACATCAGATCGAATTTGTGATCTATTCTAGCCCAGGCCTCAACAATGGCTGTAGTGTTACATAAGCAACAAACGGCTCTTTCCACTTTAGCTAGGTCGCCTCCAGGAACTACTGTCGGTGGTTGATAATTAATTCCCACCTGTAAAAAAATCACAAGGGATCACCTTCCGTCTTTGTTTCAGAAATTCTCGTTTACCTTGAATCCAGTCGGACACCACTCAACGAACTGGACATGCTTTTGTCTCTTAATCATCGAAATGGCAGCGTTTACATCTTTCGGCACGACGTCTCCTCTGTAAAGCATACAAACCGCCATGTATTTTCCTTTTCGGGGATCACAATTAACCATCTGATGATTAGGCTCAAAACACGAGCTGGTAATTTCCGCTACGGCTATCCGTTCGTGTCCAGCTTTCTCCGCAGATAATACAGGTGCATACGTTGCCTAAAAATGTATATTTCCTTAGTTAAACAACGGAATCGGTTTCAAATTATTATCTGTACAAAAATTACCAGTGGAAAGTGAATTCTTGGGTAGGGAACCAAGTTTGTCTGAAATTCCGTGAGGTCCACGTTCAGAGCTCCATCGAATCTTAGACTGGCTGTGATAGATGAAACTATTTGACCGATTAGGCGATTCAAATTAGTATAAGTAGGCCGATCGATGTTTAAGTTTCTCCTGCATAGCTTGTAGATTGCCTGGTGATTTACAAGAAAATATTGGAAAATCTGGAAATTCAAAATTTTTGTTTGGAATTATGGTGATCAAATTCTACGAACCTCGTTGTCAACTATGAATGCAACTTCGCAATGTTCCAATGTTGGATGTGTATAAAGAATTGCATTGTAGGGCTCGACCACTGCGGTTGATACCTGGATTTGTGATTTTTTTATTCAGTAAAATTGAACGAAATGCTCGGCCGCATTTTGTGCAAATATTGCGTGCGAAATAAATGCCTTTAATTTTTGTCAGAAGTACCTGAGGTGCTGGATAGATGCTGAAAGTCAACTTGCTCCGTTTAGGATATTCGACAGACAGTCTTTCCATGAGTAAACTAGAGAATCCCGACCCCGTACCTCCCCCAAAGGAATGGAAGATCAGAAAACCCTGAAGACCTTTACATTGTTCGGCAAGTTTCCGAACTCTATCCAGAGTCAGATCAACGATTTCCTTGCCTAAAATGAGCCTTGTTTATTTGCGACTCTATATTTTTTTATTAAACATTTTGATTAACTAGATTAATTCACACCTATGGTATAATGCCCCCTTGCATAATTATTAGCTGCATCTTCTTTCCCAGTTATCAATTGTTCTGGGTGAAATAATTGCTTGTAGGTTCCAGTGCGAACTTCGTCTATGGATCGTTAAGATGTAGTTTAATTAAGATTGTTCGATAAGTATAAGAAGAATAAAAGCGCTCTTTTCCGTTTCGTCTTACCTACTACCGTGGGTTCTAAATCGACAAAGACAGCTCTAGGCACGTGTTTTCCTGATCCAGTCTCAGAGAAAAATGTGTTGAAGGAATCATCTCCATACCCCACTGTGGTATCACTGGGCATCTGACCATCGGGATGGATCCCATGTTCTAGACAATATAATTCCCAGCAAGCATTTCCCATTTGCACGCCCGCTTGGCCAATGTGTATTGATATACACTCCCGCTATGACAAATAAAAATCATGTACAGTAAAATTTTCAAAAGAAATGTTTTATTTGGAATTCCACCTTATATAGAGATACTTTATCCTTATGTTAGTATAATCCAACGGATTCATGGAAAATTGATTAAAATTCCTAAATTACTTTCGAAGGTACCTATTTAGCCATTTGACAATTGGAATGGAATGACTTATCCATTTTCCAATTAGTAATACGAACGTTTAGACAAATAATTCATTTGGAACAAATTTCCTCGGCAGTTGGTTACTACCTGGAGAAATAAGTCAGCTTGGATGAAATGGCATAGTTGTGTGTTAGATGGAGGGGCACTTATGTACCCTTGACCTAGCGCAATGCTGAATAATTTACGAAATTGGTTTAAGGATTAATTATAACTGCATATGTTTAGAATAACGGATAGGTTGTTATATAGGGGATCGCAGCTACGCGTCGAGGTTTATGTGGGACAGGAAAAATCGATTTCTGAGGTTGTCACCCGGTAACCATAGCAGTTCGATCGAGCGTCCTACTGACTACCGCAAGATTTATATAGTTCATCTGCCGAAGATTATAATATAATCATATTATGATATTATCAATCAAATTTATGCCAAGCAAGACTTCGCTAGTGAGATAAAGAAAATGACGATATAAAATTATTTAAGCTGGAGATGAATTTCTGCGCTACTCGGTAGGTTTTTTCCTTAAATTGAAATACTTCCGTAAGTCTCATTGCGTGAGCAATCGTCAGGTAATGACCATAAGGGCAGTAACGTAAGAGCGATGCGAAGCATTGCACCTGGAAACGGTTTAAAAGAGTCACGCAACAACCTTCGGATAATGTTACCTCGGGTCACATCGCAAGGTGGATAATTATTCTCACGGGGAACATGAGATCGACCATTATCTCTTCCGATCATCCGGTTGCCAAATTACCCGACACTTGCGTACTGAACGACACGTATTGATAATTAATAGCTAGCAACTCAGGGCGAAAGTCAAAGGAAGTTCTTGACATACAAATGTGTCGATAGCAGACTTAATAATTCATTCGAGATCAGCTGGAAAGTCCGCGCTCGACAAGTTGTAGACTAGTTGTGGACAAACGTTAAGTTCACGAAGAAGTTTAATAAATTTGCAATTGGAAGTAAACTTACCATCTTTGTTACACTTGTAGCGGGACAACGATGGGGCAGGTAGGGTCGCGATTGACTGACCGTCTGGCTTGCTGTACACCTCGATCACTGGGATTCGCCATATTAATAGAGGTTCGGTATCCGATTGTATCCTATCCGCCCCACCGTTTTACTACCTGTGTACCTGTGTACTATGCACAAACTATAGAACTATAATATCTCTATATTCCATTACGAGACTTCCTGCAGTACACAAATATGAATGCTGCATAGAGCACTCGGTGACGACGCTTTTTACCCGATACGCCGCGATCGACCGACTACGTACATCGGTCGATCTTCCTGTTCTCTTTACTTTTCCAGCAAAAAAATAACGGCAGGGAAAGGAAATATGACCGTACTAAATTATTAAGAAATTTTAGTTATTTACACAAAACGCTAATGTATGGAGTACCGAATAATAAATGCTGTATTATATTATTCCCAGTTGTATGTAGACTCTATTGTAGCATACGTTTTACATACGTTATTTTACAGCTATTATCTATCGATGCCAGTGCGTTCTACGCGTGGATAATGTCGCTAGTAATTCGATATTGGGTGGATAGTGATATCTTCCCGAAATACGCCCATCCACGGTGATTAGGTCGCACCATGGGTGCACTTTATTCAGTCAGTGGCGGATGATCTTCGTTTCTGGGACGGTCCATCTCCTTCCTACTGAATAATATCAAGTGATCCGATCTCAGAATTCGTATGGTGTTTTACCTGCAAAAATGGTTGGACACTCGCGATGGCTCGTGTTCCTGTGTTTCGGTTTGTGCAGGGCGTGGATGGACGAACGGTACGTTCACCAATTTTTTCTTCTCTACTTCCTTCTAAAATTATTAAGTCCTAATTTGAAACTTTTAGTCCTGTTTTGGAATCACGCGACGGCAACCTGTACATATCGAGTGCAAGGGACCGAAATATCACGTTAAAGATATTAGGATCTGGCTATGTTAACGTGAACGACATCAATCTCCTGCACGTCACGACTGCGGTACAAATTAATAATTTCAGTTGTGTAGAATTTTTTAATATTTGTAAATTTAATAAGAACCTCGAAAAACCAGGCGAGAGACGCATCACGAGTGGTGGAAAGGTGGAAGACGGGTATTCTGTTAGAGATGGAGCTGAATTTGCAAAGGTTGACCGATGTCATCGAAGGTCCTCACGGTTTACAACGAAGGATGAATATGTTAGATTGGGGTGGAAGTGGAAACACGACCAACGATAAAACTACTCGTTTGCCATTCAGTGGAGATCGAGTGAGTTTCGTGGCTTTTTTTCTGGGCTGAGTACCTCATTATTTCAATGGCCGTATTTTACAAATTTTGTAAGCCAACATTTTTTACCGTATATATTTTTTAGTCATATATAGTCGACAAGGTAGCGAGAAATCGCATACGGCAAGTAAGCACCGAGGTAAGTCGGAACACTGGAATGAATCTTGGTAGGAACGAAAAAGGGACCTGTGTTGAAAAATGTTTATTTTATGCAAAGTTACGGGATCTGGGACGAATTGTAAAAACTCTTCTGAGCGAATTGGCTGCAGACCATTGCCAAGGAGATCCCTGTAAAAATGGAGGCACTTGTAAAGAGCATTACCAGGGCTACAAGTGCGTCTGCCCACCAAGCTGGGAGGTTGGTACATCGAAGGAACCTTATTTTTTTTTCGTTATCGATCGATCACGTATTTTCTCCAGGGGCCAAACTGTGCGACAGATGTCAACGAGTGCGCGAGATTTGAGGGTACCGATTTGGGATGTCAAAACGGAGCAACGTGTGTCAACCTTCCTGGTACCTACCAGTAAGACCAGATTTACGATGTTTATGGATTAAAAATGTTTTATTAATAATTTTCTTGGTGTAAAGATGTCGAATATGAAATGCTTGATTTTTCCCAATAACTAAACGATGACTTCAGGTGTTCCTGCACATCGGGCTGGTATGGAATTCACTGTACGAAGAAGTCTCTTGTGTGCAACACCCAAAATTCGGACGAGTTGTGCGGTCATGGTGTTTGCGTGAACAAATTAGGTTCTCCGTTGGGTTACACTTGCATCTGTGACCAAGTGCGGTTTAATTAAAATCCTTTACTAGTAAAACGGATTCACTGATTTTTTTCATCGATGTATTAATTTTTCTCCAATATTCCGTAGGGCTGGGAAGCTGAAGGAACGAATCCAGCTTGTATAAAGGATGTTGACGAATGCGCCGGGAGACACCCGTCATGTTCAGTAAATCCCCCTGTACAGTGCATCAATGTTCCAGGAACGTTCTACTGTGGAACCTGTCCGCAGGGATATAGTGGAAACGGATATTATTGTACGGACATAGACGAGTGCGCAACCAATAATGGTGGATGCAGTACATCGCCTATGGCACAGTGTATCAATACTTTGGTAAACACGTTATTTTTACGTTGCCATAAAATACTCTCGATTTCATTATTTCCATTACCTAGATTTCTGTTTAACGGAGTTTTATTCGAGAAATTCCAAGAAGGTTTAATTGCATTTAATGAATTTTAATATGTGTCCGATAAGGGCTCCAGAATTTGCGGACCCTGTCCTCCAGGATATCGTGGAGATGGAGTGTCCTGTTTCCTCGTAGGAGCTTGTACGATTAATAATGGAGGCTGTCATCCTTTGGCGACTTGCACCGATAACCCGGCGATATCTGACTGGTATGTCAGCTGTCGCTGTCCATATGGATACGTGGGCGACGGTATGGGTCCTCGAGGCTGTCAACCAGCAGCTGGAGGTGGTACCAGCGTCGTTACAACTAATGCTTGTAGCAGTAATCCTTGCATTCATGGTCAATGCCTTTCCGAGGACGCTCATGTCTTCACTTGCGTCTGTAGTCCCGGGTTCACGGGTAAGCAATAAAAACAGGACATGGAGAATTGACCAAACTATTTTTATTTAATTTAAAATTTATATTTTTATTATTTAATGTCTCAGGTCCGACGTGCAGAACCACGATAAATCCCTGCTCGCTAAATCCCTGCAAGAACAACGGACAATGCACCGTTGCACCATCTGGGGCAGTGCTTTGCCTGTGCACTGGCAGCTACTCTGGCCCAAGGTGCGAAACTCCCAGAGATACTTGCGGAGGTGTCATTCGAGATCCAATTGGAGTTCTGCAATTCCCCTTAAGAGGAACCAACTATCAACACGGCCTTAGTTGTGCGTGGGTCTTAACAACGAACCACAGCATGGTTTTGAACATCACCTTCACTGACTTTCACCTGGAAACGTCCAGGGATTGTCGATTCGATTTTCTGCAGGTAAATATTCTAACGCTTGCCGATAAAAGTTGAAACGTTAAAGGCGCATGCGTATTATCGACTAAATGTAGCGGCAATGCTGATAAGAAATGATATGTCACGTAAAAAAATATAATATTCTGTAGGTTCATGATGGAAGAAGCGCAGGCGATCATCTTATCGGCAGATACTGTGGCCACAATTTACCACAAAATGGGACCATCATCTCATCACATAATAATTTGTATCTGTGGTTTCATTCCGACAGCAGTATTTCCCATAGTGGTTTCTACTTGACTTGGAAAACGATTCCTCCGGTTTGCGGGGGCGAGATAAACGCCGAACATGGGACCATAAGCTCTCCTGGTTCCCCAGGAAAGTATCCTCCCAACAGAGATTGCTTTTGGCAGATTTCTGTATCGCATGGAAAAAGGATTCAATTCCACTTCTTTACGATGATGCTCGAAGAACATCCCACCTGCGCAAAAGATTTCTTAAAGGTGAACGGAAATCCTCGAGTTTTGCTCAATGTAAAGGAAACGTTTTCGTATATTATATCATTACTATTCATAGATCGCGGAGAGTTCAGATCGCGAAGACTCGATCCTTGGCGTGTATTGCAATCATACGCATCCTCCTCCGTTAACAACCACCTCGAACGAAGCCTTTCTTCACTTTCACTCGGACGGTGTCGGAAGGGATGCCGGATTCCAGATTACCTTCTCAAGCGTACCTGGTATGCGTGAAACATAACTGGATAATCCACCGAATGAAAATGATCGCTTCATATTTTTCTTTCTGCAATGTTTAGGCTTACCTGGATGCGGCGGAATTTATACCGATTTGTCTGGAGAAATTACGAATCCCACGCGTTCTTCGACCTATCTACCAAATATGAGATGCGAGTGGTTGATTCAGGTTCCTCCCGGAGAAAAGATTAAGCTAGATTGGATAACGTTTAACCTTGAGGAATCTCGATCCTGCCACTTCGACTTCGTGGAGGTGACTATTCGCTCCTTTGGTGATTAACGGAATAAACGTTATGTCTTGCACTTGAAAAAAATGCATTGTCGAACAGATTGATTTTTTTCATAATTAATAAGTATTAATTTTTTACTTTAAATTCTTTGTAGGTTTATTCAGGGTCTACGACCGATTCTCCTTTGGTCGGGCGATACTGTGGATCTGATTTACCTCCATCAGTTAAATTGGAGTCGAATGTCGTTCTTTTGGTATTCAGGTCCGATTGGTCCTACAATGCGGAAGGTTTCAGAGTGAGATACGAGACAATATGCGGAGGACTTTTCACCGATTTGACTGGGATCATCACTTCTCCCTCGTATCCGAAAAACTATCCGCCCGACAAAATCTGCATATACAAAATCGCTGTGCCTTCCGATCGTTCCATTGTTCTGACTCTTACGGACATGGACATTGAAGAGTCGACGGGTTGCTACTTTGACAATCTTGAAGTCCGAGATGGCGACAACGAAAATTCTACTCTGATCGGAACTTACTGCGGCCCCGATGATTTCTTACCGGAACCCATGTACTCGACTTTTAATTATATGTATCTCAAATTCACCACGGAACACAACATCGAAGGACGTGGATTTCAGGCAAATTATACGACCATTGTTCAAAGTAAGTTCTCGCTATGCAGCTTTTGACTGCGTAGATTAATTAATAGACAAATATTTTATTACATTATCAACGATTATACGGTCGGTCTATTTTTTAATGTCTTTTTCAAGGATGTGGAGGAATGTATAAGGCTGAAGCTGGGGTTATTCAGAGTCCTGGCGATGGAAGATATGACAACGGCGAGACCTGCACCTGGTTGATTCAAGCACCAGTTGGACATATTATTCAACTTACGTGGGTTTTATTCCAATTGGAGTACCATACAAAATGTGCTCACGATTACGTCAAGGTTTACGATAATTACACGTCGGATGAATCTCCTCCCATTGGCAGGTCTCAGATTTTTAGACACTATTTTCTTTTAAGGAAAAAGGATTGGACGATATTAAATCCATCCAATGACGGTGAAAATTGTTCCTTTTTCATGAAGTAAAATTCAGAAGATATACTTAAGGCTCGTTGATGTTTTTTCTAGTTACTGCGGTGCGAAAATTCCACCCGTGTTAATGTCTCAAGGCAACATGATGACGATAGTCTTCCATTCGGACTCCAGCATCACCAGAGAAGGATTCGTGGCAACTTATGTTTTCCTGGATGCCAACAAATTTTGTGGTGGCCGTTTCTATGCCATCACTGGGGTTATCAGGACTCCAAATTATCCTGCTAACTATCCTATCGGACGAGAATGCATTTGGGTGATAGAGGCTCCAAGCAGGCAACAAGTGAAACTTACGGTGGAAACCTTCCGTTTGGAGAACCACACGAGCTGCAACTTTGATTATTTAGAAATTAGGTACATTATATCTTGAGTCTCGACAGCGAATCGAGATTCTGTCGATTCGGATAATACTTATATTCTTTTTAATTCCTTAGAAATGGAGGGTATGACTCCTCACCGTTGATTGGAAAGTATTGCGGTACAAATATGCCGCAGAAAATAACCAGCATGAGCAACCAAATTTATTTGAAGTTCGTGTCGGACTCGTCGAGAAGTGAAAAAGGTTTCAGCCTCCTTTGGGATAGTACTACAATAGGTCCGTGAATTTATTCAACCCTTAAGCATTCGGTCGTAAAAGATATTTTAGATATTTCATTCTGCATTTTTTTTTTTTTTTCATAGGTTGCGGAGGAACGTTGACCTCTACAAACGGAGCCATTACATCCCCGAATTATCCGCAACCATATACCAGGAGTGCAGAATGCACCTGGAAGATCGTAGTTTCAGCTGGCAGTGTGGTTCAAATAATCATAGTAGATCTTGAACTAGAGGAGCACGCTACATGTAGATTCGACTATGTGGAGATATTTGACGGTCCCGACAAACGAGGGAAGAGTTTGGGTCGATTCTGCGGTTCGTCGTATCCACCTTATATTAAATCAACATCTAATGTTGTCACTGTGATTTTCCGAAGTGATTTCACCACTGCTGGTCGCGGATTTCATATAAAGTACAACACACGTAAGCAAATAAGAAACAATTAGAAGTAAGAAATAATTTTGGAAACGTATTTTTAATCGAGTTTATATTTATTGCAGTTTGCCACAACAGTGTCCGGGGATTCCGCGGGGTGATCGAATCTCCGAACTTCCCGAATAATTACATGCACTCGACGAACTGCAGCTGGGTGATAAACGCCCCCCTGGGCAACAAAGTAAACGTAACGTTTTCGCACTTCGAACTGGAAGGTCCAGTCAGCGATTCCTGTGTCTACGATTACGTGGAAATAAAAGAGGGCGAGAATGATCTGCCGAACCAAGAGCTCGGAAAATTCTGCGACTCTCTGGAACTCCCTCCACCGTTGTCTTCCACGCAGTCCCAAGTGTTCATAAATTTCATGACGGACTCTTTTGTCACCTACAGCGGATTTCGATTGGAGTGGGTCATACATGGATGCGGTGGACACTTTAAAAGACCATTCGGGTCATTCAGCTCTCCGGGTTATCCTAAACCCTACCCCGAGGACATCGAATGCGAGTGGCTGATCGAGGTGGACTTCTGGCAGAGCATAGAGATTACTCTGCAGGAGGTCCATACAGAAAAATCGGCGGAATGTTACCACGACAAGGTATACACGCCAAACGAATGCCTGATGAAGGTTTTTAAGCGAGAATTCTAACTGGTCAATTTTTATAATCAGATGACGATTTACGGAGGTGAGAACGAGCATGCTCCCATGCTCGTACAGACGTGCCATTCGGACCATCCGATTACGTACACGACTCCCGGCAATAAAGCATTTATAAAGTTCGAGTCGGATTTCTCGTTCAGCGGAAAGGGTTTCACCGCCACCTATAAGAGCGTCCGCCTTCAATGTGGAGGACTCTTCACTACTCCGTCCGGGTACATACACTCGGCCAATTATCCGAAAAATTATCCACACAATCAGAACTGCGAGTGGCTACTAAGAGTCGACGTCAATCACGTCGTCAATCTGACGTTCATTGACTTCGACCTCGAGGACACCGCCAATTGCACGGACGATTACGTCAAGGTACTCTCTTTAGTATTCCTGATAATTTTCTAACGATCGGACGCGACACTGTATCGGAAAAAAATTGTCTGGATAGATCTTCGATGGATCTACCAAGGAGGATCCTCTTCTGGGCACTCATTGCCGCAGTTCTCTTCCTCCCAGCTATATTTCGACCAGCAACGAGTTGCTGATAGTTATGAGATCGGATAGCATCGTTACATCGAAGGGCTTCAGAGCTTCTTACTCCATTGCCTGTGGTGCCAGAATAGTGACTAACGAAAATGGCGTTTTGATTCCCTCTTCCGACGCCTTATTCGGTTTCAATAGTGAGAATTGCACTTGGATTATCGTCGCCGAAAATCCAGGTTAATATTTTGGAAAATATGAGAAAATGATACCGCAGAACCGTGAATTGTCCTGCCTTTTTCTTGCTACTTTCAGCGGACCACGTGACATTAACGTTTACATACATGAACCTCGCATCGACGGATCATTATGACGTGGATCAGCAGAGGTCCTATCAGACCGTGGATGTATTCGAAGGTGAAGGTTCCGATGGTCCTCTTCGAGGTAGCTGGTCCGGCTATAAGGCGCCTCCTCCAGTCGTCAGCGAAGGAAATGCATTAACGGTGGTCTTGTCACCATTGGACAGTGTCAGTGCGAATCATTTCAGAGCCATCTACAGTGTCTTAAACACAGGTAGGACCCACGATTTAAGTTCTTTATTACATCTGAACGGCATTTCCTAAAATCAGCGTCTCTTTCCCAGCCTGCGGTGGCGTTTACGAATCTAAGAACGGAACTATAGTTTCCCCTGGATATCCAAATAGTGGTCCCTCTCAGGCAGAGTGTGTTTGGATATTGCAGACCGCCCCAGGAAGTCGCATTAGCTTAAATTTCGTCGAATTTAATTTAGGCTGCGATGAGTGCACGACTTGCGATATTAATTACCTAGAGGTGCGAGAAGTCGACGGCGCTGGTAAAGTTTTGGGTCTGTGGTGTGGAAGTCAAGCCGGTGAAATAACATCGATGAAGACTTTGTGGGTGAAATTCAGGAAGGACCAGCAGTTCACCTCCGGGAATGGGTTCATGGCAGAGTATTCACTGGTACACAGTAACGAATTGGAGGGACCCAGCGGAGAAATTGCTTCTCCCTTGTATCCAAACTTTTACACCATGGAAGGAGATTACTCCTGGAGGATCACCGTTGCATCCGGTTGGTCCATTAGGATCACGTTCACGGAATTCCACACAGACGCAACTAGCTACGGTTGCTATGGCTATGTCGCGGTAAGGCATTCATGAGAAATTTCGAGAATGTGTATCCGTTTTGGTAGAAAATTATTCCTTCCATCCGAATGGTAGAGGAAATGATATTTCGTATGACACGTTATTCTAGGTTTATGACGGCTACAACAACGAAGCTCCAACGTTGCTGTCCCATTGCGGTATCTCCATACCGGATGAAATAATATCTACCGGCAACGTCGTTTACATTGAACTTAATACGGCCACCTATCAAGAAGGTTCCAAATTTTTCATGAAGTGGTTGCAAGTTCCGAGAGACGTGAGAGGGACTTCCATAACGGAAAGTAAGTCTGATTCTTTTCGTGATTCTTTGCGTGAATTTAATTGTTTGAAACAGGCTGTTACAATTTCAATTTGATCGCAGTTTCGGAGTGTGAGGAAATTGTTTCTTTAAGCGACCCAACGAGTCTAGAGTACCGCTTCTCTTCACCTGGATGGCCAAATGGATACAAAAATGACTTGAACTGCTCCTGGATCTTCGAATCACTTCCGGGAACGTCACTTTCTTTAAATTTTAAGAGTATTTCTTTGAATTCAAATTCATATTGTTTAAACGACTACGTCGCGGTATATTCTGGGATCGCTGAGTCGACGCACGAGGAGTGGACACTTGTTACTAAAGTTTGCAATTCTGAATCTAAGGGAAAAATAATTTCGGCTTCGAACCTGATGAGAGTGGAATTTATTACCGATGCCTATTCCAATGGTACCGGATTTGAAGCATCGGTCTTGAGAGGTAAACTTTAACATTTGCAACCCGAACACGAATTTTCTTAACGATGTAGTGGACTCGAAAAACAAAAGTTGTGGTTTTTATATACAGAATGTGGAGGTCGTCTCGGTGGGCCCAACGGAGAGATTGAAATCACGAATTCATCGCTGATAACTTGGAGAAAGAGCTGGACAATTTCTTGCAATTGGACAATTTCAGTGAGACCTGGGAGAACGATTCAAGTCGATGTTACCGAATTGAAGACAGGAACGACAGAAGGAGGCGTCTGTGGAAATAGTTACCTTATGGTGAGGTGAAATTCTTAATCTTACCGAATACTTCCTTAATTTTACTCTTTCATCGAGCGCAGTTGATACAAATACCGAATTGTCAGAACGACAATTGTAGCATAATTCGAATTCTGTATATAGTTGAAGAATGGAGGATCTTCATCGTCCCCCATTTTGGGCGCTGGGAAATATTGTGGATCGGAGCTACCCCCTACCTTGAAAACTACTGGAAATGAACTTTTCGTAAAAATACAAGGCGTAAAGAATGCATTGGGGCTAATACTTCGTTACAGGTAATTCGAAATTCGCCTAGGTATTTTTCATATGTTTTTTCTCTCAAGTAATTATTTGAATGACCTTTTCATTTTAGGGAAGTGGGCATTAATTGTGGAGGAAACTATTATCTGACTAAGGAAACGCGCGAATGGGAGATGAAATCTCCAAATTATCCAAATATCCCGTCGCCGCACACAGAATGTACATGGACTCTCATGACCAGTCCTGGAGATCGGCTATCGATTCACTTTGTCGAAAGATTCGATCTGGCTTACACCCGAAAGTATGCAACTATTTCGTGTCATGAAAATCACGATGGACGAATAAGTCGGATGCAACAAAATTTGTTACAAAATGGGCTTAAAATGTTATGTTAAATCTTATTTTTTACATGTAGCTGCGAGAGAGAATATCTGGAGATTAGAGATGGTGGTACCGAGGCTTCCGAGGTTTTGGGCAAATTTTGTGGAGACACTGCACCCAGTACAATGTCCTCAACCGGCAACGTCATGTACATTCACTATTACACCGACATACCCGATCCGAAAAATGGATTTAAAGCAGTCATAACAACAGGTGGATCGGATTGGGATTAATCATATCAGCGAATTATCTCCGCTTTCCAAGATATATTTCATATAACATTTTTCCAAAGTTCTTTAATATATGTAGAATAATTCTGTTCGGTATCTTATAGGTCTATGTGGCGGAATTTTACGAGGCTCTACGGGCGTTATTACTTCACCTAACTATCCCGCTATGTACCCGAAGAATGTTACGTGTGTATGGGTCATTGTTGGACCACGGCAACACATGTTGAAATTGCAATTCCTCGATCTTCATTTGCCGAGTTTTAGAAGCTGCCAGAATACTGACCACGTCAGTATTGGAGAACGATTTAATTTTAACACAACTCGTAAGTGATGAATTTAAAACAATTGTACTAATTTCCAGATTTGTAGGCTTAATTTATATTCAGTGCTTTTCCAATTTTTCCAATAACGCTAGTTTCCGGATAACTCATCGTCCACTTCTTCGTCGTGCTTAGCTGGTTCAAGATCGCAACTGCATTTTTCTTTATTTCTTCGAGACGAAAGCTTGAATTTTTTTTCAGACTTGACATTTGCCTCAGTTTTTTCGTTGGACTCGTCTTCAGAATTATTAGAAGAATTATCTTCTATTTTCTTCGTAGCTTCATTGACTCCTTCTGTGCTTTCTTCGTCGGTTTCTAAGCTAGTATTTTTCTTTTTTGTCACTTTCTTCTCTTTCTTGTTTTTTCCTTCTCCACATTTTACGCACTTGTCCTCTCTAATTTCCCGACTTTTCTCACTTTTGGAGCAATTTTGTAACTTCTTTTTAGTAACTTTTGGTTTTGCCTTCTTGCCAACGTCCTGTTCCGCAGAGCTGCTATCATCGTTTGCCTCCTCAGAATATTTTGACTTTATTTTCACCTTATCCTTTTTCTTATTTGGGAGTGAGTCTTGTTTGCTGACTTTAACATTTTTTAAATTATAAGTGTCACGTTTCTGCTTTCCTGCTTTCCCGGTCTCCTTTGATTTTTTAATGTTTACTTCGACTGGTTGTTCCTCAAGGTCTCGACTTCTTTTCACTTTAATGATAGGTGTTTCATTCTCTGCGCTTGTTTCGTGTTTAATGTGTCCATTTTTTGCCTTTTTCGATGAATTCAATTCGTTGCTTTCCGAATGCCTACTTTCTCGTGCCTTCTCTTTCCCTTTCTTTTTATATGCCCTAAATATAATTAATAACATAAGTCTATGTGAGGAAATACAAAACGATTAGGTACGTTCATTTCTTACTTGGAATGATAATTCTCCTCAAATTTTCTTAACTTCTCTTTATCGGAATGTTCCGATTTTACGTCTCGACTTGATTTCTTTGTTGCTATCTCGGATACGATAGTCAAAGTAATTAGGAATATTAATAACAAGGAGACTCTGAAAAGAATACATTTAATGTCTTAAATCATTTCCCAATGTATCATACACAATTTCTGTTTGAAAACTCACCGCATTTTCACGTTCTTGGTTACCTTATTAATCCAAAAATAGGTGAAATTATTATTTTTCCTACGATTCTCGTAACATTCACGGTACACATGAAACTAACGTGGCGCCTGATAAGCAATTTCCTTTATATCAGTTTTACGCATGGAGCTCTCATCGTGTGATAAGCGAACCTCCCGATCTAGTTTTCTTTATCACTGCAATAAGCTTTGATAAGCGTCAGAATCACGTTACAACCTTCGAGGAATGGGAAAGATGCCAGTACCCAAAGCGTTGCAAATATAGACCGGATAGTGTGATAATCATTTGTCATTCAAAAGCACCTTCCTTGCAAACATTAGATTTTCCGTTAGACATTTCAGCGAGATTCTACGTTTTTTCATTAAAGCGAAGAAGTGGGAGCAAACAATTTGAGTACTTTTTCAAGAGAAACAAATTATGGAGAATTCCAAGAAGTTAGTCTTAGATGTGCAACGCTACGACATAGTGTCGTTTCATGTAATTATACAAGTCGTATTTCAGTAGTATCTTGACAGCTGTTTGTCGCATCCTCGACTCGTCCCTGGATTCTGGATTCTCCTTATTTGTCGTTGCATGCTTTTTCTAACGAGTTCATGTGTGTTCTTGAGGTCATTACCTTTAGTAGCCTTTACCCTGCAGACAATTAAATTTTTTTTTTTTTCCGACGGTGAAATGATTCCAGATACCGAGGAGAGAAGGTTTTGCGGAAGTACGAATCCTGGAATAATTGAAACGACTAGTGACAAATTAGTGGTCACGTTCGACAGTGACGACAGAGAGTATACAAATTACCGAGGATTTAGCCTGAATTATTCTGCCAGCCAGGAAGGTAGCAATGACTGTCAGAGCTCCTGATATGCATCTAATTAAATTACATGTTTATGTCTTCTTGTCGGTTTTAAATTTCCCTGTAAAAAAATCTTCATTATTTTAGCATGCGGAGGTTCATTGAAAGGATTATCTGGAACGTTCCAGTCTCCAGGGTACCCATCCGGAAATCCTCTCCGAAGGTTAACGATATTTATATTTTTTCTGGTGTTAACGCGTGTCTATTATTATTTCTTGAAATTCGATTACTCGTTATTCAGGTATTGCGAATGGCAAATCACTGTTCCACCTGGCTTCCAAGTGGTGGTTGACATTTTGGATATGGCTCTCGGCAATGAATTTAATTGGGCAAGGATGGGCAATCGTCTCTCGGTAAAGGACACGATAAATGGGCATTTTTTATATCGAAATGAACTCTGCTTAATGCAAATTGCCGCCATTATTTCAGTTTTACAACGACTTCAACTACAAATCCCGAATTGCCTATGTACCACCTACGGACACACGAAGGCAGTTCAGAAGTTCTGGCAACACTATGATGGTTTGGTTCTGGTCGACGGGCAGTGGACATCGTGGATTCAAAGCTAGATTTACGGCGGTTGCCCCAGCCCGTAATTGATTTACAATAAGAAAATTAAGCGACCGAATGATAAATGTTAATAGCCACATAATATTTTAGCTTGTGGTGGTGAGGTGACTGGCTATCATGGATTCCTATACTCTCCGCGACCACCGCTATTTAACCAGACCAACTTTTTCTGCAAATGGTTGATTAAATCTCCTGTGAGCATCGTCGATTCCAATAATGCAACCAAACAGACTTTGACGTTGACACTTACCGGTCTCATCGGCTATAATGTATCAGCTAGCAGGTCTTGCAAATACTTTATGTCGAACATCAAAATTAGCAGTGAGTGGCTTGAGCATAATGCAGCGTTTTAATGATATCATCCAAAGAAAAAAAAAAAAAATGTGTAATGTAACGAGGCTTCGTCGGCTTTCTGCAGGTAATACGGAAACTCTTGCTACTATTTGCGGAAATCTAACTGAACCTCAGATTGTTAGAAGTCCTTATAATTATAACGTCCTTTCGGTAAGTGGTTATTCTTCCTTTGTCCATGAATCCGATAGTAGCTGATTGTTAATGGATGGAAATGGATTTTTAGGCTCTGAAAGGTTTCCATGCAAATATTACAAATTTCACCGTCGAGTATCAATGGCAGTCATGTGGAGGGATTTTGAGTGGACCCGAAGAAACGGTGGAGGCTCCAAAAGGTCTTTCGTATCCTCTTAGTTGCGTGTGGTTCGCTCGTTTCCCTGACGAAGGCGAAGCCATCAGGTTGACTTTCGAAAATCTGAACTTGGGAAGTTGCGAAAACGGCTACATCAGTATCAGGTAGATTTATCGATCGTATCTCCGGCTTGGAAATGGAATCGTAAAAGAAGTGAATTTCTAGGAACGGCGGTCCCATGTCACCCGAGATGGGAAAATACTGTGGCAGCTTGAAACCAGATCCTTTGACTTCGCAGTCGAACGAAATGTGGATTGAGTATCATGTTAAACAGGATCCAAGTAATTTCCGGTTCCGTTTAGAGACCGTGAGTGGCGGATGTGGAGGTGCCCTCTGGGGTAGCAGGAAGATCATCGGAACACCAGGGTAGCCGGAATTAATTCAGATAAATTTGACCGTTTCCAAGGCGAAAGCTTTTACATGTGAAATTATTTTCTAGATTCCCCAAACCTTATCCAAATAATGCGGAATGCACGTGGGAGATCATGGCAGAGCCGGGGTACAGCGTCGCCCTGGTCTTTGTTGACCGATTCCAGATGGAGACTTCTAATAATTGCGAAAAAGACTTTGTACAAGTGAGAAGGCTTAATTTCTGACAATTACTACTTCTACTAGTTTTTTTTTTTTTTCTTTGGTAATAATACGAAAGTTGTACATTTCTTTACCAGGTCTTCGGTTGGAAGTCGAAAAATTCAACTTGGGAAGATCTTGGAAAATTCTGTGGTCGCAATGCACCCGCTCCTGTTAAGTCAACGACGAATCGAATGAAAGTCCTTTTCCGGTCTAATGAGGCTATTCAAGGAGACGGTTTTACCGCACGTTGGGAAGAAAATTGCGGTGGAATCTTCGACGTTACATCTCATGATCAGAAGTACATTCAATCCCCAGGGTATCCCCATGCGTACACTGGAAATTTGTTCTGCAATTACACCCTGTTGGCACCAGGGAAGAACATCCGCGTGGACTTTACAGATTTCTTCCTTGAAGACGGTAAATAAAAGAGAAAAAAATACGAGAACTTGTATCAAATAGATACTCGTCTAATACGAGTAATTTATTAATCAGCCTTAGGCCTTCTACGGTTGTTACTTTGGCAATACTTTTTGCAGATCAGCCAGACTGCTCATATGACAATGTGACCATCACAACTAAAATATACGCAAAGAATTTGGCCGTGAAATGCGGCCACAGTGTGCCAACTCCATACAGGAGTAAAGATATGGTGGAAATCATTTTCAGAACTGATAAATATGTACATAAAAGAGGCTTCGAATTGAAATATTATCTGGACGGTTAGTAGGAAACTGAAAGTATTCTGAACTTTTGAAGACCATTACTGATTCACGTACGGAGTCGTAATATCGTTTAATAGTTTTTCAATTTTCTGATTTACTTATGGTGTTGCAGAGTGCGGAGGAACAATAACTCAGCCATCAGAAATCGTTTCGCCGGTCTTCATTCCACCGGGATCCCACTTTCCCTTTAATTGTACATGGATCATTACCGCGCCCGCGAAAAAGAGCGTCGTGGTGCGATTCCAGAAATTCCAAATTATTGCCGACTCACGGTAAGATTTAAACTTTGTAGACTAAGTATTCTAGTTCGCAGAGCAGAGCAGAGCAAAACGTAACAGACTTTTCATGCCTGTAACAATGTGAATCCACGATGTTAAGATAATATATTTTCTAGTTGCTCCATTGACAGTCTGTCGGCGTTCGAAGGACATTTTATAAATGAAACCAATAAACTTGGGGAAGTTTGCGGAAACTTAACGTTAAACTTGCCTGTTTTCAAATCCGAAAGTAACAAACTGACCATCAATTACCAAACGTCCCTGCTGAGGAAATACACAACGTTTAAAGCCGAGGTAATCAATTTGATCTAAAGACATACGTGATTCAATAAAAATAGTAAGAAATTAATCACAAATTAATCCGCATGACAGTTAAATCATTGTTTTTTTAACGAACTCTAGGTTCTCTTTGCGAATACACCAGCCGAAGGCTGTGGAGGCCACATCAATTTGACGTCAAATCAGAAGGTGATGTATTTTAACACGCAGATTGGTAATACTTACGATCCAGATCAAGACTGTCATTGGACCGTTGAAGCTGGCCGCAACATGATAATTCGAATGACTATCATTAGTATGGACTTGAAGAATTCTACAGACGGTCCCTGTAGCGAAGATTACATCGAGGTTTGAATGCAAATTTAACCAACGATCTATGCCTTAATATAAATGATTGATTTCAAATCTATAAATTATTACGAGGAATTAAAGGAACCGAAGAAATTTACGATAGTTTAAATGTTGAAATTTGTCTTTTTTACATGAGGAATATTTTCATCGACTTGTTTCAGATTTTCGATGGACGTAGCCCTTTCTCGGAATCGATTGGTCGATACTGTGGTAGTACCTGGATTCCTCCACCGATATTCTCAATGTCAAATGTCCTTTGGATTAGATTTGTGACAAATTCTAATAAACAAGGAAGCGGGGTCGTTGGTTCATTGGAAAGCATTCCTTGTACGTACGAAGGGTGAATTCTGAATGACGAAAGTAGTTCCGAAATATTTCTAAGGGATTAAAAATCGGCGAGAAGCATCAGACCTTGTTTTTTTCCAGCTATTTGTGGGGAACAAATCCTGCGCATCGGCAACAAAAATAGTATCATCACTTCTCCGGGGTACCCTCAACCTTATCCATCTGGTATATCATGTCGTTGGACTCTGGAAAGTAGTTTCGTAAGTGCATACGGTTCATCGCAAATGAACATTCACTTTATCGACCTCGACCTCGAGGACACACAGAAATGCACTGGCGATCGTCTGCAGATTTCAGAGCATGGGGTAAGTTGAAATTGTGGAATCCTTATTAGTTTGAGATCAGAAGTTGGATAGTTACAAGTTACTATTTAACGTTAATCGGCAGGACTCAAGATCCGTCGTCGAAGGCTTCGGTCAGAATTTAACATTCAGTGGGCAGATAAATCAAGGTGATAGGTACATGAGCGTAAGTACTTCATTTACTGTGATTCAAGTTTCGATTTTTTTGCATATTGACTAATGTTTTGATAAATAACATTTGTAGCTGTTTAGCGACTCGATTAGGACGTACAGCTTTTGCGGGAATGTTATACCTCAGAATTACTACAGGTATCTATCTGTAGCGACTTAGTTTGAATAGGATTAAACTAATATATATTTTCATATTTATTATTTGTACGTTTTCTTTGAATGCAGTGCTAGCAAATTTGTAGACGTCACGTTCAGGTCTACAGCTAGTGAAAAGATGCATAAAGGATTTAAGCTTGAAGTTAGTTCTCTTTCGTGTAGTCGAAACTACACGAGCTTACAAGGCCGAATTGTATACAATGGACAGCAAGATTGTTGGATTACAATAACTGTTCCAGAAAACTATACGATTTCACTCTACTTTACACAGTTTAATATTTACGACAATGAGCAGTGTACTCACAGTGCTTTCCAGGTAAGTGCGAATACAGATTGCGAGAAGGAAATAAATAAATCTTGAATTTTTTTTTTTTAGGTTAGAGAGGGAAGTTTCAGTGGTAACGTTTTAGCTACATTGTGCGGTGCAACAACACCAAGTCCAATTTTTAGTACGGGTAACAAACTCAGTTTGCACACATGGAGTAAACAAGATTACGAGAGCTACGATATTACTTACACTTCGACCAACAAGGGTATAACATTTATTGTTTATAGAGCGAAAAAATAATTGTAGCTCCGGTATGTTTTCATTATTGAGAATCTGGTTTTTTGCTAGGTCGAGGTTGTGGTGGTGAAATTTACAACTACGCAGGGAGCCTTGCTTCGCCATTGTATCCGAATTCTTATCGGAATGACAGTACATGTACGTGGCTCATTGTCGTTCCAGTAGGTCGTGTGGTATATCTCCAATTTTATGTATTCGACCTAGGAAACGGAGACTTGTGTGATACGAATAATGTTCAACTATATGACGTATTAGAAAACGGAGAGCAAAGCTGGAGAAATACATATTGCGGAGGGGTAAGAAAACTATTAATGTCAATAATTTTGGTAACGCTGAATTAATTACATTGTAATATTATTCAGGATCGACCAGCGAGCTTTAAATCCACAACGTCCAAAATGATACTAAAATATAATACGAGCGTGAATAACGGAGGAACAGGTTGGACCGCTTACTTTATTGCACGAGAGGACTGTGAGTAGATTAATTTGGAAAAATTGAGATTTTTAATCTTTAATTATTAACAATCCATTTATTTCTATTCACAGTTATTGAGGGATGAGTAAGTTAGTTAAAGGAAGGTAGACAGCACGGCATGTATGATGTAAATATTATCTTCTTGCACTGTTTGAAAAAAAATCATGAATAAAAACATTTTCTGAACTACGTCCATGAAGTTTTTTTTTTTAGTTACAGGCAGGGAAGAAAGAATATTCGGAAACTCGTCCACCTTTAATAAAACTACATGGTTGTATTCATCGATAATCAGTTGCAACATATATAAGTACAATTCTTAGTACTTTTAAACTTGCACTTCTTTTAAATCCCCTATGAGAAACGTTATTTCTGCCGTTGAAGTGATACATCCGCTTGCAGAAAATTATACAATCGTATAATCGGTTCTCCTCGAAGAGCCGACATTTATTATTTATTTTTTCCATCCACATATATATCCTATGTCCATGTGAAAGGAGTACTACATCTCAATGGAAGTGAGATACTACTACTTGATAACAGTAGAAAAATAACTAAAATTTTAATACACGATGTAGTAAGATGCTTTAACCGACAATATAAAACGAGACTATGCATACAATTTTCATCTCTTGCGATTAATTGTAAAGATATTAATTCAAGAAAATAACATTCAAGATTTTTCCGGCTAAATTCATTGCGGAAGTATTTTAAAAGTCTGTAATATTTCTTTTATTTACAAATAGCAGACGTTTTGGCTTAGGGAAATTAAGAGTTGAGTAAGTACTGTAAAGGAAGAGAAAACTAACTTTTGCATTGTCATGTACAATACCCCAAGGCACTGATCATAATGGCATAATCCGATCCTACTGCAATTGTTTTGCAATGCTACGCTTTGCATTGATAAAGATTTGTTCGAAAAACCTACTCTGGGTTTTGACAGAACATGAGCTCAAACAACCAATCGTTATTGGTGCATTCTCTGGTAATAACTATGTTCTATGAGATCCTTTCTTACGTACTAGTACTGACGGCTTTAATAAAAATTAAAAAAAAGATCAGATCACAGAACCGAAACAGACGAGACTCTATACATACGTTATTCGCAAGGCTCAATTTTTGCGTTTCTTTGTGCATTTACCATTGATACTTCAATCGATCGATCAACATAAGTAATCAGAGAAAGGGTACAATTCTATTACCCCGATGGCGAACACAATGACGGAAGGTGATTCTACTTTCAAATGAAGGAAAACTATCCTACTGTGACACCCTATGTGACACGAAAAGCCAGTTTTCCTGAGATACGATAACCTCGTAAAAATATTCTTTGTTATGTGTTCTTGGTGGAAACTACGGTCAATAGAGAATTTCTATCGATAACTTTTGTACCCAGACCTCTAATCTCGCGTCGAGGCCTAACCTAAAACACCGAAAATAAATTGACAACGACAATACGATATAATATTATCGTACCCTCGGTCAAATATCCAATATCTTGTTTGTAAAGAAAATGTTAGTAATATTGGATACAGGTTGGGACACCCCTACGCGTACAATCGGGTACTTGTCATGACGCAGCTGTATTGCCATTGTCAATCGATACTCGTCCGTTATGACGTCATGGAAATGATTGCACGAGACGCGTACGATCGATGGTTGTATCAAAATAATACGACGAATGCTCGAAATCGTCCTTGACCGTAGATTCATCCTAGGACTTTCGTATATACAAATATATATCACTTCTTTGTCAATCGGAATATGAACACCGATAAACGTAATACAGATACTGTCCTGAGATTACATTTGTCGCTGGATGCTCGGTCGCCTCGAGATAATTTTTCCATTCTTCTGAGGTGATTCGTTCAGAGGTTCCGAATCTTCATGAACGGATTGCGGATACTTTTGGTCGGGATAATTCCACTCTTGGATATCAGCGGTACCGAATATTTGGTAGATGACGTACGTGCCGCAAGCCACGCAAGTCGTGACTGCAAAGACCCTTCTCCACGCCTCCAGAGTTTGCTATAAAATACCCATCCATTTTAAAGGGCATTAAATATGAATATTTAGTTTTTAGTCGTTACGCTCAGTGTTGCCAATTCCAAGCCCGTGAATTCTAGTACAGTTTAACTAAAATTATAGCAGAGACTCCGATAATACTTACGCTCTCTTGCGTCAACAGACCAGCTGCTATGGGCGACAAGAAACTGGCAGTCATGTGGATTGTCTGCGCAAAGGCGAGAACTGGGCCTATGATAAAACGAAACAAATGCAGTAATTTTTATATTTCTTTAATACCGTCGACCTGCTTTTTCATAATTTACCTGCAAGGTTAGGAGCAATGTCAACGATGTTTGCCATTGCACCGGCATAAGCTGCCGTGATTAGAGTCACGGCAATGAACCACACCACCAAAGCTAGGATGATATCGCATCCTAAGTAACCGACCAGAAGGACAAGGATGCCAGGAACGACTTGTGCTGGAGACACGTTAATACATCTTTGAATTTTATCAGGTTAACTCATTACTGCGAGTTCAGACTCCCTTTGATATCAGGAATCGCTAACGCAGAAAATAACGTTTATACGATTTGCAGGATAAAAGCGACTTACATAACGCGGTAAATATCTTGCGGACATTCGTGAGAGATAGAATTTGCCTCGTAACGAGCACGTCCGCAACGTAGCAAAAAACGACAGAGCTGAGGTAACTGCAGATAAAGGGTGCACCCGAGAGTAGACCATTCTGCAAGAGAAGATTTATCAAATTGGGTTCGCGTAAATTTGTAAAAATGAAAGAAACTCACGGCCTGAATGCTAAAGCCGAGGACAGTTTTCATATACATTGGACCAGAGATGATGAACACGTAGTGGACCCATATCCTCCCAAAGGTGGTGATGCCGATGGCCCAAGCAGGCCGAGAAGTTAAGATAGACTTCCATGGTACCGGAACGCCCTGAAAATATGGAGCACCATGAGTCGTCGTTCGCTGTCGACTTCTTTCTGTCCAGGGGGAACCGGGACAAAGGGTGATACCTCGCTGCCGCCGACGACTTGATTGCCGACACTCCCTTGGATGTACCGAAGTTCGTGTTGGGATATCCTGGGATGAGCACTCGGGGTATCAAAGGCAAGCAGGTACCAGAAGACGCACCAAACGACTCCGATGGAACCTGTCGTGTAGAAGACAACCCTCCATCCGAAGTGGGCGATGAGGAAGCCGCAGAGTGGGTAGGTCAGTCCAATGCCGAAGCTGAACCCTGAATATACATAATCTAGATGTTAGGAGTGGCTCACCCCAGGGATCCGTACGGAGATGAAACATGATGAAACTGCGACTGTCTTTCAGGTCTCCAAGTACTATCGGGTACTATGCGCGGGACTTTCGACTTGTACGCGACGATGTCTCCTCGCCGAAGGGCCATGCACGGCGACTCTGGAAAGCGATTTAAGTGGCAATTTTAGTACGTGGCGACCAGGAGATGACACGGTTCAACCTGATACAGGCGCGACAATGAAACTTCTATACCTGGAAAAAAGATATCATCGCAGACCAGGATGGTCTCGCTTCTTAAGCGCCTAGAGGTTGCATCTTATTCGCAAAGCTGTCCTTTGACTTAACAAACGGGAAAATTTACTTTCCGATATCAAGAACAACTCATTTAGCGAATAAGCTGCAAAGCCCTGTCAAGTCTTTAAGCAGAGATACTCTTAGAACGTGGGTCGTGTATATTTGCAAGTACCGAACCGGGTAATTGTGAAATCATTATTTGTCTCCGTGTTAAGGAATTATGGATTGTACAAATTTTCTGACTCCGGTTAGCGGCGTTGGTTAACGGGGGGGAATTTACTAAGAGGTTCAAGGTGAACGATCGGTTCTGCCAGGCAAGAAGTATACTCGGCCCTTCTCATGCTGTTGAGCGGTTGTCTTGTGAGTATACCCCAAAGTCCGGCCAATGCAACAATGATGGGCTGAATCAATGGAAATTAGTATCAGACAATCATTTTCATGTATCCTATTCTAATTAATATTTAAGTCAACTGCTACTGATCATTAACCCCCGACGTTCTATGATATATACTGAAAGAAATGCATATTAATAAATTTAAAACGTGTGCGTTCTTTGTACGGCACAACCTTTTGGAACCGCAATTATTACGGGTTTGCATACTGTAAGGTATAGTATCGAAGTTTCACTGTAATACAAAAGAAATAGTTTTAATGTCCTATTTAAAGGAGGATCTCTCACCTTGGAAGGAGGACATAAATCGGGAGCGCTCAACCGGTGGTATCCAGTGTCCCACGATTGCGTACATGGCAGGCCAGGTTAGTCCCTGAGAAAAAAAAATTTTTTTCTTACACCCGTCCGGTGTACTAATATTTATTGAAAGTAATTCATCGAAAAGTATTCTCACGCTAGCTACGCCTTGGATACTCCTAAGGGTTATCAGGGCCCCGTAATGAAGCTCTGCCGCAGTAGGAATAAGCAGGCTGCAAATCGCCGTGACCAGCTGCGAACCCCCGAAAATAGCTTTTGTGCCAAAGCGTTGAGTTAAAACACCACCGACAACTTGAGAAAGAATGTAGCACCAGTAAAACGAACTCAGAATGGTCGATTGAATGGTCGAACTCCAATCGAATTCAGCTATATCCTAAAATTGAAAATTTTATGAAGTCCCACATCTGACCAGTTGTAAAACAGCAGTTTCGTTCCAACTGGATTGCCAATCACACTTTTTATATACATATATATATAAAAAATAATAATAGAGAACGAGCAAATTTATGCGATCTACAAGGAAACTGTTTCGATCGATTGGGTCATTGTTAAAATGTTAGCAATTCAAACGAGATAAATTGTCCGTTTCTCGATATTTACCTCGTCGTGGGAATGGGCACGACGAACGTGCGGAAGTATTTAATACGATAAGAGAAATGAATTTCCAATTGATCGAGTCACGTACCTGGTACATGTCGGTGGAGTTGTCCCAGGAAACATTCGATGGCACGTAACAGTGAGACTCAAAGGTGACGGTTTCATTTTTCAAAGGTTGTTGCTTGGCCATTGCTACTATGGCAAGGTTGATGTCCATTCGCATCATAAAGGACACGAGAAAGCCGGTGAATGACATTATGTACAGGACTACCCTTGCTGGCACCATGTCTACAAGAAATAAGAAATATGTCCACATTGGCATTCATAAATTCCGAAAACTGTTATAAAGTAAACGCTTCTCGTACCTCCGAGTTTCCGCAAACTGCATGATAATGGCCTTTTGAAAATTACAGGGTGCTCGTACCTGCAAATGAAGTTTAAAATAATTAATGCAAATTTAATTAAACCAGTTTCTTGGACGATTTTAACCTCTTCGGTCTGACAATCGACTTTGCTCCATCAAATGACTACACGGAGCTGGGCGTCAATCTTTTTTTCTGCAATTTTTCGGCCGTCACTTAATGAGCTTCGTTTTCTAGCAATTCTTTTTTAATGGCTTCGGAATCAGCAAATCAAGGGCAATTAAACGCGGAGACTTATCCAACTCTTCTTTACGTAAAGTTCGGGTGATATAATCGATCTCCGTCATTGCTTTTTAATTATTGTTGCTGTCGTATAATAGCACGTTATTACACAGGCAATGTGATCCGAAACCGAGGAATAGGTATTGGTGAGTAACAGGAGGCGATCGAACAATGACGAAGGTTGGATTATTATACCGGATCGACAACAATGGCGTCAGCGCTTGGATTCTTATTCTGTGCATGATTTTGAGGATTCTCACCTTTCAGGGTCTTCCATGATTTCATTTAACCGCGGCAAGTTGCTGCGATTTCTGGAAATGTTCCTTCCGAAATCCTCTTTGTCTAAGATCACCTTTGATTCTGAAACCCGAAGCGATTTGAAATTCAAAAAAATTCCTTCGATCACGAGGCAAATACGTTACGCGACTGCGTTCCGAGGTATTTAAAGGGTTAAGACCTGTCCATGAATTAATAATCGTGTAATGCGATTATAACCATGTAACATTCAATGACTACGTAAATCGGTATGACCAGGAGTATCAGGATGTCGTGATATACAAATTGAACGTGTAAGGTACACGCTGGTTTACATAACTTCTGTTCTAGCAATCGAAACGGTTCTTACGATGAAGTCTACCTTGAATTTTTTTTTTTTCCCACCGATGGGTTTACTTACAGCAAATTCCGTTTCTACCGAAGTACTCTTACACGAGAGTAATTAAAGGTACAAATCTGAGAGGAAGGAAATATTTTGAATCAGCTCCGATATTAATTTTTCCACATCGTGGGATGTTATCAAAATTCCAGACGCGAGCTTCATATGAGAAATTTTCGAATACCGGAATGAATTGTGGACAGGAATCTTATTATCCGACTTTACGGAAGGTCGTCAGAAATTCCTGAAGGGAATAAGGAGGGCTCTGACGAATTGCATTTCCTTTCCCGTTTTAACATACACCGAGGCCTTTAAATTCTCGGAGTTTCTCATCGATCGAACTACTAGCGTACTATTAGAATGCCGGTAACTCTTACGTAGGAGGGAAAAAAAAAAAAAAGAAACACGTGAAAGGAACGCATGCCGATAAAACAAATATCATTGTATCGCGAGTTAAGTTTAAAAGGCAATAGTAATTGTTCTTTCGCGCTGGTAATCATGACAGATATAGACTTAATGTTAATGGCAAGAGAACGACTGCATCGTCATCACTACTTATGTAAAGTATTCGCACAGTCTTGCGATAATTCACTGCAGAAATCACAATTATTGTTTATATATAAAAAATTAAATATTAATACTCTTCGGTACTTCCAGTCCTTGTTAGAATAAACGCGCGATTCTACGGACAACTCGAAGACGCTCTTGATCGACTCGAATTTTTTATTCAACAGCAATTACTCGTGATGATTTGCGCGAACTGTCCGATGGTCATCTATTAGATGGCGCGGTTTAATTGCAATTAAACTTTGCTCGGTACTTACTTTGTCAATATCGATAGAAACGTATGTTTAGATGGGGAGCATAAATCACGTCGGACCGTTCCTTGGTTTGCTCGTCAATGAGCCACGGAATTCCGTATACTGAGTGCCGGTTGAAGCACGAGGCATTGACTATTAAGAAGTGGCCCCTCCACCGTTAACTATTGCCAGTCTCAAGAATACCACGGGGAGGCTCAAATCCGTAATCGATCGATTATCGATACGATGACCAACGCGACGGCCTTTAATAAAGCCCTCGTTATCGCCTCCTGCACGAGATCGTGCAGCCAGGAAATACCCAGGATAGGAGAAACGTGACGAGGGAACGTTATCGATTTGCGCTTACAGCAGTAAGTCAACGGTGCTGCGTACTCTACATATGAAACGTGTTAAAAAATTCCTTGAATCGTAGAATAAAACGGCAGACTTTTCGCGAGATTTTCCGCAGCTTTCCTTCGACATGTCCCGCTGGAAAGTGGAATTTTCTCGATCGGTAATCGCAGACAGTAGGTGCAATAGCTAAGAAAGATTCTAGAATTTGCCTCGAGTTTTCGCTTCGACCGGTCACTCGTCCGATAATTCAGTAATTAACCTCATGAAGTGGAAGGATCGCGCACTTCGGTCAATCTCGCAATATATTACAAGGCACGGGACGCATGTCTTGTGATCGTTTCAATTATTGCTAACATACGATAACGATAATACTTTCAAATTGTATGTAGTGTCGGATAATTCTTTACGGGCACGTGAGTTGCGTCAAAGTTTGATAAAAAATCATTTCCAATCATCGGTCAGTCCTCGAGTACACGGTTCGGCTTTCTTCTAAGAATGAGACGGCAAAAGTGCATTGTTTAGGAGTCACTTACTAGGCGGCATATATCGCAGTCGGAAATGACAGGGTTCAAGATACGTGTACGTCGCCTCGCTGCCAATCTGCGACATGATTCCAAAGTTATTTCCCCATGCTGCAGAAAATCTGCTGACCGCAGGTGAAATTGAATTACAAGTCAATTGACTCATTTCTGGGGAAGAATCGCGCCATCATCGTATAGACCTAATCGTTTCTTGGATCTTGAATAACTCTCAGCTGGATCTTGAATAACTCTCAGACTGGCACTTGAGCTCCTCAATGGGAGTTACGAGACCAGAAATCCATCTAATTTGAAACGTTGGCGACCATCAAGTTATTCGAATAGCCGGCTTGCGTCACCTCCCTTAATACCTACGTATTGTAACGACATATACATATAAATTCGCAACTCTCACTTTTCAGGTCAGTCGGATGATTTATGCTCCAGAAAGGAAAGCATCTGCGTTTTTCGCGGCATATTTGGGATGACTACCGGGCCTTTACTGCTACATAAATGATTCATCGAATACAGGGAGATGCGTATTACGTCGCCGGTTCTGCAAAGGGATCGATACGTGAAAATCGGGTCTACTGCGCGTCCCGTAATCCACGGTTTTAATATTGCGAAACCTTCAAGGTCGCGTATGTCCGGTCCTGTTCATCGGTCCGATGGACGAATAATATAACGAGTTCGCAGGGCATTCCTTCCACTGGGTGAAGGCCTCGCCACTGGGTCGTCTGACCATGATGTAGCTTAACCTACTTCCCGACGTCTTAGATTACCCCGTCTCGTTGACAAAAGTGCAAAAATCGAGCTCCAGTAGCATCCCAACGATGTAGCTACCATTTTTGCATAAAAGTGAAAGAGCTATAAAATACCGGAATGCAAATATTTCCCTGATGTCCCGATATCGTTACAATGGTAAATAAACTCTGGCTATAACACTGGTACCGGCTTTGTTGACCGAATGGCGATAAGCAAGATGAGTCTTCAGGAATGGCGAATGCCTTGACTTTTTCGAGTCCTATCAACCCGGAATACGTAGATTAATACGACGCAAACCATATGACAAACGAAATGCGTGGTTAAGTTTAAGAGAAACGCTGCAACAAAGATACGCTCTCGGTACGTTCAAAGTCTTATCCGCGATTATGCAGCGGAGAGCGCACTGGATACGATCTCAGAGACCACTCCGATATGTTTTTTCCGAACTATCCGTATCGAGTCTCGGGCACGTTATCGGCAAAAAAAAAACGGAGTAAAGCATTCCGGGAATGTACGATACCGTATCAATGAGCCACTCATGCCATCATGCCCAAATAATGTATTTAGTGTCTGGGTACTCTGGGTGTATCCAAGGAACGTACAGCAGAAAATAACCGTCCGTATGCAATCGAAGGAAAGACTCGTCGTTGATAAATTACATGAATGCCATCTGGTGGCACGCAAGAACGACATGACTATGCGGCCGAAAAATGAATGAAAGTAAGGGACTGGAGGTTAAAGGTGGGCATCTCAAAGGGCCCGGTGAACGCACTCGTGCCGCAGCCGGGCGTGCACGGTTCCGAGAGCACGTGACGGATTAACAGTCGCTCAGGGCGAATCTCTCTCTCGGCCGCTCACCTTGAAATCGTTCTCTTGGCTGGCAAAGTCCTCTGCTATCGGCGCCGGGTCCTCCAGCATGTTGTCCAAGTACATGTCGCAGGTGTTGGCGATATTCAGAGGAGCGACACCCCCATTCTTCTTATCAATAACCTGAAAGCGACGACTGAAAATGAGAGAACCTCGGAGCGACGCCAACGCCACGCCGACGGCCGCTCGACGCAGTCGTGAACTCATTCTAGACCGAGAGCCGCTTGTCACGTGACCCGGTCAGTGACGTAACAGCCATCGATCGCCGCGCGCCGCGCGTCGCGCACCGCACGGTCGGCCGCGCGCATGACGGGTGACGTCACCGCGGACCAGCCAATCGCGTGGCCGGATTTATCGCAGCGCGGCAATCGGATTCGAACGGCGTCCTTTCGAAAAGACCAGAACCCCTTTCTCTTGTAACCACGGACAGATTTAATCGCGTATTAATACTCGACTCGTTTCTTTTTCAGACTGGAACGAACAACGCCGCATGCACGGACCATTTTCGGAAAGGCGTGAAGAGTTTAACGGACATCTGCGTCGAGGGGAGTCGAAAGAATTTTCGGTAACCCGCAAACGACTTTAACTACCCATGGCTGTTGTTTTCTGGTGGAACTCACGTGTCTGCGAAGAGACGACCAGTGCTAATTTCCTTAGGCTGCACGTAATAATTACGACACGACTCACGTTGTTTCGAGGATACCTCAATCGCGCTTTGTGCTCGGTTATATTCCTTGAGTTGCGTAATTTTAACAGAAACATTATGCGCCGATTGTGGTCAAGCGGCATCTGAGACTCGGTGTCGGGAAATGATTGAAATCCATCTGTTCGGTGTGCGATTAGGATTTTTTTTTGTCCGGAAGGAAAAGCGTGAGTTTTGTAAAAATGAAATGAACGGCGGGGGGCAGTGAGGAGGAAAGCGCTGGTCGCGGGAAAACAACGGCTAGCTGACACGTTTGACGGTTTTTCTCGGTTTTTGGCAGTACCTGTCAGGTGTCTCCAAACGCCCCACGTTCCGTCGAACGCTATGCAAGATATGTTTCGGTCTGTATGACAAAATCTGTCGCGTAAATGCTGGTCCGTATGTCGGATTGCGAGGAAGAACCGGAAGGGTCGAAGCCGAAGTCGTCCCTGCGATCAACGACGTCGGTCAACTCGAATAAATCGGCGATCCTGAGGAAAGATGTCATCCCGGAAGTCGAGGTTCCATTCGTAGAGTCTGAAATCGAATGGCGTAATATTCAAAACTGCTTTTCCAGCTTCCAAGCTCGATTCGGAATGGCCGCACTCCGTGGAACTCCTCGAAGATGCTGCCCGATTTCGCGCCGATCGAGCGTTCATCATCACGTGCTAATTGCGACAGCGGTATGGTCCATAATCACGGGACGATTGTAACGTACAGGGAAAAGACGTTGAGAAAATCCTGCAAAAAGTTGTTGATCAGATAGGCGTCATAATGATACCTTAAGACGTACGTGAACCACGTTCGCGCATTAATGGTTACTTTGCATTATCAGAATTGGCACACCCTTCGCTGAGTTCTTGAATTTTCAATACGTACTAATAACGTTCCGTCACCTTTCTATTATTTCTTTTAAATACGGCGATCGACTCGTACTGATTAATGGATCGAACTTGTGGTTTCATGTAGGAAAGTACACTGGCCGCGAAAAAAGGTCTATTAAATCTTGCAAAAACTTGTTGATCCGATCTCTGATGTGATAGATTTACGACATTCGCGTAGCATAAATTGTTTATGGCATGTATTGGATGGTAAGAAAGGGACGACCCATTTATTATGTGGGACGTTTATACAGATTGATTAATGGTGTATTAATATGGTAGAGCAGACGGGGAGCTGATTGGAATGCTGTCAAAGCATCTCTATCTTGCTGAAAGTCAAATGCAGCGAATGCAAAAGGTCTTGGCCAAGGCGGAGGAAAGGTTGAAATCGAAGGAGCAGGAGATCGGACGTCTCAAACGAAAAGTATACCTTCGGAATATCTTTCTTTTTTTTTTTCATTTAATATTTCTGTAGCGTGCTTGACGTCAAAGTCGCTATTTTATCTTAATAATTCTGCAGCAAATATGGAGAATGAATTATTTTCCAGGTAAAGGACTGGGAGATGAAGAGTAAGAATCAAACTTTAATTCATAAAAAGGAGTTGCAACAGAAACGTGCGCAAATTGAAGATTCCGAGTACCTTTACAGAAGATGTCTATTGTTAGAGCATAAAATCTATGAAATGGAGGTCCGATCTATTGGTACCGTTGACGTTCAATATCACTTTTTGCGAGGAAAATTCCTTTTAAATCATTTATGTCTTTTTTAGAAGTTTCTGGCGGACTATGGACTCGTCTGGGTGGGTGATGCAGACGATGAAAATAATTCATTGCAGTCCATGCCAAAGTAAATCAATTTCGCAGCTCTACAGGAGTCATCAATGTATATTCGTTAACGTATTTTAGAGATTACATCGAGTCTTGTTACGCTCAGTTGATGACAAATATCGAGGAGCTGAATTTGTCAGTGGGCAAAGGCGAGGTCCACATCCAACAAAAGCAAAATGGAGCTGGTGCCTCTTTCAAAGTGAGCGAAAAACTGACATTCCTGGTGATCCACGATATTGCGATTAATTGTAAAATATTTCTTTTTGGCCTCAAGACTTCTTCCTGCATGTCCTTAAAATTCTATAAAAACGGCATGGTAGTCCAGGACGGGCCTTTGAGAAATTACGATGATCCGAAGACGGGATCATTCATTCGCGACATTCTCGATGGTTATTTTCCATCAGAGCTGCAGAAATTCTACCCTAATGGAGTTCCCCTCAAGGTTAAACGGGATTGAAAAATGATTCTAATCGTTACGAGGTAGAGTACTTTTGTTACTTTCTCCCTTTTATTCAGGTGGGCGATCACAGGACGGAAATTTACTACAGCCAAGGCAATTTTCCTGGCCAGGGCTATCGTCTGGGGAAACGGTCTTTGATTAAAAAATCATCCCCCCGAATTTCGCCTCGCCAGATTTCGAGTCCTGCGAGCACATCTCGAACTTCAGAAATTTCTAAGTGGAAACAAAGTTCGACGGATTTTGTGTCGAAGAACGTTTCGGACAAGGCCAGGCAGGCCAAAATTTACACCCAGATTTCGTCAACTCGGATGACGAATCTTCGATCGCAGATCCTTGCTTCGCATAATAATAACTGTTCGGATAGTCATTTGCAATCCCACATAAATGCCGAATTGGCACTCAGCAGTCGAAAGGAGGTGAGACAAAAATCTACAGATAATCATGTATTATCCCAATTTTTTTATATTTTTCAATTCCATGTCTTATTTTCTTTTTAGAAGCGAGATTTAGCGACAAAGTGCACAGAGTATCGCGGGTCCACGAATGAAAAAATTACGAGGACAAGCACACCTCGGTCAAACACGCCAAGGGTTCCAGATAGTAGCAGTACAAGTTGGCACAGTTACAAGAACAATTCTCCCGTGAGAACGACACCCAGGTAATGCTTTAACGATTTAAATGATTGACTATACAATTTTCCTCCACTGGATTTAACACGCAGAATTTAAAATTCTGAATAGTTTCGGACGTATAAATATTAATTGAAAATAAAGTCATTGCTTGTAGAGCTCGATCGAGATCGGTAAGTTCGGCTTCCCCACGTCCAAATCTGAGGTCGATGTCTGAAATGGAGTATCCACTCGCAAACAACGTCAAAAATTTGAAGGAAAATGTTAAACAAAGTTTTGGATATAGAATACCACGGGTTAGCAAATCGGCGACGCTGGATAGGCGGAATGACGTAACATTTTTGTCTTATTCGTATACATCTTAAATCAACTAGTTGTTTCATTATTTCCTTATTGTAGGAACCATTTATTCGTCAAATTAATGGACCTACGGGGAAGGGTGGTGAACTTCGATTGAAGGTGAGGTCATTAAACGGATGTACAGTGTACTTAGTGCATGTTTCAGCGGATGATACGGTTGCCAAATTGTACCAAATTTTGGACAGAAATTTACCAAATGATCATTCAAGAGGATATAAGGTCGTTATCAGTGGGTTAGTTTCTGAAAAATTAAACCAGCTGTATGTATAATTACTTTTAGATTTCTTTTTTACGTTGTTTATAATTTGTAGATACGTTCCAAAGAGATTGGAGCAACTGGCAGTAACACTGAGAGAATACGGCATTTTCAGAGACAGCGTTCTCCATCTCGTAAACGATTGATGTTTTTAGGATTTCTAAAATTCATGGGGAATTCCTGACAGTTCCGAAATCCTTCGAAAATTGGCGCAGTAGTTGCGAGTAT